GTCTGTGAGAAGAGGACAGGCTTAAGAGTGGCTAAGCAGAATTGGATACGCTAGCTCGGCATCCAGGTCACAGCAAAGACAGCATGGGAGGCACGTCAGCTGGGGAGGACAGAGCAAGAGCCTCCAATGTCACCAGGAGCAAGGTCAGCGCACCCTAGGCAAGAGCCTCAAGGTAGTGGAGACAAACGTTAACTGCCCCGGTTCCCAAGAACAGCCAGCTAGAGTCAGAGACAGGAGAACGGCAACTGGCCCCGCGGCCTGCGCCACATACGGGCTCAGCGTGGAGCTCCTGTCCCTCCATCTGCTCCGCACATGAGCTGACCGAATGTGGGGCACGGGGAGGTCCTCCTCACTCTCTTCCACCTGCAGCTGCTACAACGCAAAATGTCTCCCACCATGCCAACCCCGCTGAACAGGAGCCCCTCTGTTAATCTTATTCCAGGTATGAACACCCTGATTCCCCATCTTAATAATCTGCACTCTCTCCCTGACCCCACCCCAGAAGCGAGAGTCCCGAGGCACAACGGCCTGCAAGCCCCCTCCCACCCTCCAATCAGGAGAAAGGGAAGGAAAAGAAAAACTCAGAAACCTGCAGATTGTTTGGAATTTATTCTCTTAAATAAGAATAACATTTGTTAAAAGAAAATTAAAAGCACAACACCTTAGTTTCACAGTAACGGCAAAAACAAAGTTACACAATTAAATTAAAAAACTCACAAAGAAACACACCGAAAACTCACAACAGCACAGGTTAAAAACAAGGCAAAAACAAAGGCTTTAGGGAAGGCCCGAAGTGGACGGGTGGCGCGCCCTTGCACAGGCCATCCCCCTTGCTCTGGTTCCTCTGCACCACTGCCGTGGGGACCCGGCTTACTGCCTCCTCCCCCCACACTTGCCTTCACCCTAAGCTACAGGGCCCAGAAAAAAGGGAACCCCTTAATTCACTGCTCAGGCCTTCAAGGCCACGCTGAGGCCCCTTGTAGGAGGGACTAAACACTTCCACTGTCCCACACTGACACACCCGACACTCAGAGCCAGGGAAGGTGCAGGCACAGACCCAGGGGGGCCGACACTCACACCTGAGAGCAGAGCAGAGGGAGCTGAGGCGTCTGGCCCCCTATGGTAGTCCACGAGCGACAAAACCTGCTACGTAATCTGCTCTTGAACCAACTTCCTGAGGTTGGGAGTGTGTCCTTCTCAGTTTGAGATACCTACCCCCGAAGTCTCCCTCCACGGGGGTGCTGGGCTGCGCTGCCTCCTCCAAATCCCAGCAGAGCACCAGGCCAGGCCAGTGGCACGGCCCCCAAGGGAAGAGCTCCCCAAGAGTTTGTTTCCCAACAAATAAGAGGCTTTAGAAACAGCTTCATTCTTATTGTTGTTATTATTATTTAGGACATGATATATAAATACTATTTGTATATATGAAATTAACCCTATATAAATATATATGTGCATATATATAAGTATTCACAAATCATCAACTACGACTCTTGGGGCAGGGTTATAGAATTACGCTGGGTTTCCAAATTCTCTTTGCTCTACTAACAGGTTTTCCAAAACGCCTATAAGGGAAGAGGGTTTGGGAAGCAGCGAGAGGATTTCCTCACTTCCTCCTGACAGCTAGGAACCCTAGGATTGAATGGAATTCCTTGTACTGCATAGCTATTCTAGCTGGTGTGGGAAACGCCTGCACTTCCTAACGGCCCAGTCAGCATGCAAACTCTGGAACCTAATGGTGATCATGCAAGGGGCGTGATGGACAGGGAGCAGGCACCTGCCACTTGTTTCTCTGCTAGGCGACCTTTTAAGTTAAGATCGTCTTTTCCATAAGACCACAGACAACTGAAGTGTTTCCCTCATCCCATCCCCGTGGCCTGGACTAGAAGAAATGCTCTTCTGTTCCCTTGTTGTGCTATCCCATAGCCTTTATGCTTCACCTTTGGTTATATGAGATGTAAAGGGGATTCCTCTGGACAGAAAAAGGATCCAAAAAACCCGCAAATATCCCATTTGGAGATTTTCTTTGTCTGTTATTGTCCAGACTTTTCCTAAAGTCAGGGCAGGTACTAAGAAGCCAGAGTAGGAAAATAGGTGCTGGGCCCACTGACCTGTAGCCGTGAGTTTAAAAGCTTGGAAACAAAGCGTTTACAGACGTGGAGAACAGAAAAGAGGGTTTCTATACTGAAAGCACATTAGACACAAACCACTGTAAAGCCTGTGCCCCAAGCGCTAAAGGAGGCTGCGGCTCCAGATCAGGTGCTGGAGAAAGCACCGTGGAGCAGGCCCGGAGCAGCTTCTTTTAACTCATGAGTTTGTTTTTTTGGCAACAGCACTAATTTTGGCATAAGGGAAGAGAATATAAGGCAGAAGAGGGAAATGCCACAAAACACAGAGGCAGTGCAGAGCAGGAGCACAGGCGGCCCACACGCCAGCCACAGCCACAGCTTCCCTGACTCTGCCTCCGGGGGATGGGGCGCTGGGAGGTGGTTTGTTTAGACAGGGAAAATCAAGTGCATCCCTTACAGCTTCTTGTCTGGGGTCCAGCAAGGAGACACACCTGGATATCAGTTAATGGCTGCCATCTAATACACACATTCTGGAACCCTGAAACACCTGAGTTTTTCTGAAAGTTTTCAAAAGGAAATTCTAGCTAACCAATCAAAGCTTTAGTTTGGGATTTAAAGAAGCAAATCCCTTTCAAAGGCAAAAATTTCACGCCAACTATGAAATACTCCCCATAATTCTGTTCTTTTTCTAGACAGGCTGACAAAATCAGACCCCGCTGAGGGAAAGTGCTGGTGCTCTGGAGTGAGTGCAGACTCAGCCATAGTTTCTAAGAAGCTTCAGTCTCCAGAGGCGGATCCCGAATCCCACTGCTCCTAGGCTCTGGCCTTCCCACTGCCTCGAGGGGACCTTCAATGGGGGGGATAGCGCCTGCCTCTTTCATCTTAGGGGTTCAGGGGTGACCCTTCAGGACGCCGCATCGTGAACTCCTTTGCTAACACAGGCAAGTCACCTTCAGGATCAAGAGCCACGGGGACTGTGACACCTTTAGAGCTCTGACTCTTCCTTAGTTGTTCTGATTCTTGACCAACACTGCCAGCTCTCATCTTCTCTCCCTGCCTTGTAGAATATTATTCTCCTTCTCTAAGGAACCCTTCATTCTTTAGACCCCTAAAGACCTAATATCCATTACGCTTTCAAACTAGACAGTAAGAATGGCAAATGGAACCGGCTGGGAATGCGAACACACTCGGCTTGCTCAGAATGACCTGAACTTCACTGTGCTTAACTCTTTGTTAAGAACCCTATATCCAAAAAGAAACTTTAATTTCTTTGAGTTGTTTTATTGAGTAGCCAGGTTCCTTGGAAAAACCATCTCTGTGGAACAAGGCCCAGACAAACACAGTGGTGCTCCCGCCTGGTCCAATGCACATCCTACGGTGCGAAGCCGAGCCTCTGTCCAGACCCCTTTGGTTATTTTTCTCTTCCAGCGCCTCCCCCTAGTGCTCTGAGAGTGCCCCCTGAAAATGTCAGCACTTCATGAGAAAGACAGATTGTAAAGGGTTCCAAGGCTAGAGGTTTCAAAGTCATTCGTAGCTTAAACATTGCTATAAAACATGGGTCTCACCTGTAGGGGACTTAAAGAGCGTCCCCAGACTGTAATAGGGCACACACAGCAGCAGGGGCCGAGTTCGCCTAGCTTGGCTGTGGTTGCTGTATCTCAGCCTAGATATCACAGCACCGCCAGCCTCTGGGCACATCCTCCTCTCCCAGAACTGGCACCATGGCTTCCACCGGTGCTTAGGCACGGGGAAAGAAGAAACTCTGGGAACCTCTTACTTGAAGGCCGAGTGGATAATTCTTCTCTTTTCCATGATGGAAATTCCACTAGCAACTCCTTCTCCATAGTTTCTGGCATTACCTGATAATCTTTATTTTTATAAGGTAATTTTTGGGAGTTTGTAAATGGCTGCTTGAGATATATTTTCTCTGAATGAGAGTAAACGTGTGACAAGCAGAAACATGGCCCTGTTGACTTCCTCTCTCACCTACACAGTGACCCTGGGCTGTGAACATCTGGGCTGTATTGAGGGCAGCAGGACCACCTAGCAGTTTGTGGAACTGTGGACACATCTCACAGGCTGGTTTAACATAAAGCAGAGAGAGGCAATTTTAAGGAGAAACACACAGTTCTTCACAACGAGCCTAGTGTCCATGAGCCTTTCCCAGTCCTGCCCCACTGAGGCCACAACAAACGTTTTTAGAGGTAGGGATGGTGTCATTCATGTCCTGACAAGGAAATGGTTAGTCAAAGTGGGACAAATTAGGGCTTGATCCTCTTTAGAAGTTCAAATGTCCCAAAGTGATCAGCACAAGGCATGTCCTTTAGCAGGGACAGGTCAAATAGAAGAACAGTGTCAGCTCATCGAGACACCTCAAGAGGGACTGGGATGCAAGAGTCTCAAGTGCAGATGAACACAAATCCAGATCACGGGGCCTTTTCACCATTCCCCATGCTCTGTCAAAGGAGTCTGAGACAAGGAACTACAGAAGGCCCTGCAACTCTGGATTCTCACTTGCATCAGTGATAAAAGCAGCCTGTTCTGAATTCCTGTTTACCTGGACGGGGCCTGGACCAGCCACCCGTGTGACTGATGGCTGTGGGCAGGTCCCAGGGCTACAGCAGTAATACTCTGAGACTCTGGACAGACGACACTGAAGCTCAGGGATACCGCTTACCAGACGGTGCCCCTACTGGCTCATGGTCTGCCAGTGAAACTCCCCTCTGATTTGTACCAGCACCTCCGACAGGCCATAGAGAAAGGGGACTCCGAATGCAAGCAGCTGGCACATGAAAAAGGAGTCCAAAGGGTTTTGGGCCACTTGGTGCCCAAGTGAAGAGATGTTGCTTTGGAGGCGCTGGCTCACCCCCTTGGCCGCGTCACAGAGGCTGAGAGAGTGACGTACCACCCAGCCAAACAAGGAAGTGAGGCTACCTGGAGTTCTCGCAGCAGGGCTGGTGATGGCGTTGGCCCGTCCATTTGCGTCTGCAGTGGGGCCATCCTGCAGGGGTCCTCTGGCCTCCTAAGAAAGTCCAGAGGAAAGAAAGAGTGACTCTGGCTGAAGCACGTGCTGGCCTGCTGCTCTCGCCAGTCACCAGGGCCACACTCCTCACAGAGTAGGTCTTTCTTTAAAACCCAGGGCACATTTTATGTGGAGGCACCAGGAGTCCAAATCTGGATCCCTGGTATACCCTTCCCCTCAAGCCCTCTGCAGGCCAGAGCAGCTTTGCCGGGAGCATTAGTTGGCCTGCACACCAACAAGGCGACAGCGTGTAGTGTGGGGAACACGCGGTTTATCCTGCCAAAGACAGACAGGTGGAGGAGCTGATTACTCTCATTTTAAAAAGTAAGAAAGAAAAAGGGACCTTAGATCAGTAATTCACAGAATACACAAAGTTAAAGGAATTGGCAGGCAGAGCAGATTATTTACAGCCAAGTTTGCTTACAGGGTGTCCTTCTCTCAGAAAGATGCTTATTTACAAAGGCAAAAGTCTTCTTTGACATAGAGTGAGCAGAAGGGAGGGGCTGCCGTAGCCTCCCAAATCTGACTCAGGTGGTAGATGGAGCATTACCTCACAAAATGCAACATGAGACTATGCTTGAAAAGTTGGCTCATTCCCCAAACTGGACTGTAGCCATCTCTCAGGCCCTTCTCACTCTCAGGACAGGCGATTCAAGGCCATGCAGCATGCCCTGCCGGCCCCACCCGGAGCTGCCAACACCCTGAAATGGTGCCTGCTGTTGTCCCCACTTACAGATGGATTACCATTACCTTTCCAGACAGAGGAGCCAGTGCTGGTCTCTTCCTCTGGGCGGAGCCGGAGAGTCGGTAACAGTAGTGCGGTTTGCAGTAGAATTTACCTGCAGACATCAAGAGGCAGGGGAAAGGCAGTGAGCAAGACTCTGTAAGTCTGAGCTTGACTCCCTGGTCTTAGCACATTCCTATCCATCTCTCTGGCTGTCGGACGCTATCACCGCTGCCCCAGCCTCCCCCAGGCCCAGTCTCTAGTCCAGGGAGGCCAGGCTCTCCCTACAGACTTTGATTTCAGTTCTCCTCTCCCCTTTGCCTGGAGGGGTGGGGGTTTCCTTTGGGTATGTGAAGGCCATTGAGCCATCATCCAATCAGTGCGCAGAGTACAGATGTGGGGCTCACATGGCAGGGCCAGCAAACAAAGTGGCAGTGTGTGCAGAACAAAGATGTGGTCACATGAAAAGCTGGGAGTAGCATTTCTGGGGAAACCAAGAATGAATACAAGTGTGGGGTGTAGGCCTGGAGGCTGCAGGGGGTGGGGCAGCATTGAGCATTCACTCTGACAGGACCCCTCAGCCGTTCTTGTCTCCTGCAACCATCCACAGGCCGGCGCCCGTCACACGGCAGCTTATGGCCCCTTAGTGGGTCAAGATCAGCATTAAAAAACAAAACAAAACAAAACAAAATCCAGCAATGGACTATGAATAGAATGAAACGGAATAAAATAGAATAAAAAGCACTGGAGTGCATAGTTGCATAATCAGAGTTAAGTCTTATCTCCTACAACTTTTAGCTGTGTCTACATGTGTTTTTCTGGGTCCTAATGTAACACGTATTTCCTAACGCGTCTGTGGTAAGAACAGTGATCTTGGTTTTTCCCATGACACTGGTAGTGGAATTCAGTCACATGGGGTCACTTTTTTGACTCTTTCTTTACTCCTACTTAAAAGCCCCAGCTTTTGAAAATTAAAGGACAGACTTGATGCACAAAGTGCTGGAATAGGAACAGTCCCACTCATCCTTCCCATCGGTAGACAGAGCTCCTTGACAACGAACTTTGCTGTTCTCAAGGTTAAAATAAGAGAATCTGATAATCAGAAAAATAATAGAAAAGATAACTGAAACTAAGGGTTTTCTTTTAACAGTACAAAATTCACAAACCTTTACCAGACTAATTCAGAAAAAAAGAGACAATTCAAATAAAATCAGGAGAGACATTACATCTGATACCAGAGAAATACAAATGATCACGAGAAACTATTATGAACAGTTATACACCAATAAAGTGGACAACTTAGAAGAAATGGATAAATTCCTAGACACATACAACCTACCAAGACTGAATTACTAAGAAATGGAAAATCTGAAACGACCAAAACTGAGTAAGGAGATTGAATTAGTAATCCAAACCCTCCCCCAAAAGAGAAAAGCCCAAAATCAGATGCGTCCACTGATGAATTCTACCAAACATTTAAAGAAGAATTAACAGAAATCATTCTCAAACTCTTCTAAAAAGCTGAACAGGAGGGAACATTACCAAACTTATTTTACAAGGTCAGCATTATCTCGATTCAAAAACCAGGTGAGGACGTTACAAGAAAAGAAAATTACTGACCACCATCTCTGATGAACATAAATGCAAAAATTCTCAACAAAATACTAGCAAACCAAATTCAACAGCACATTAAAAAGATCATTCACCATAATAAAGTGGGATTTATTCCTGAGATGCAAGTATGGTTCAACATACACAAATCAATAAATGTGAGACACCACATTAACAGAAAGAATTACACGATTATCTCAATAGATGCAGAAAAAGCATTTGACAAAGTACAACATCCTTTCATGATAAAAAACACTCAAAAAACTGTGTAGAGAAGGAACATACCTCAACACAGGAAAGGCCATATATGATACACTCACAGCCAACATCACACTCAATGATGAAAGTTTGAATGCTTTTCCTCTAAGATCAGGAACAAGACAAGGATGCCCACTCTCACCTCTCCTATTCAGCACAGTACCCTAAGTCCTAGTCAAAGCAATCAGGCAAGAAAAAAGAAAAGGCATCCAAATAGAAAAGAAAGAAGTAAAACTCTCTTTGTTTGCAGATGACATGATCTTATATATAGAAAATCCTAAATTCTCCACCAAAAAAATGCTAGAACTAATCAACAAATTTAGTAAAATTGCAGGGTACAAAGTCAACATACAGAAAACAGTTGTATTTCTATACATTACCAACAAAACATCTGAAAAAGAAATAAAGAAAACAATCCCATTCATGATAGCATCAAAAACAGTACAATACTTAGGAATAAATTTAACCAAGGAGGTGAAAGATCTGTACCCTGAAAACTATAAGATTTTGATGAAAGAAACTGAAGGAGACACAAATAAATGGAAAGGTAGCCCATGTTCATGGATCAGAAAAATTAATATTGTTAAAATGTCCATATTACCCAAAGCCATCTATAAATTCAATGTCATCTCTATCAAAATTCCAATGGTATTTTTCACAGAAATGGAAGAAACAATCCTAAAATTTGTACAAAAGACCCCAAATAGCCAAAGCAATCCTGAGGAAGAAGAACAAAGCCTAAAGCATCATACTTCCTAATTTAAAACTATACTGCAAAGCTACAGTCATCAAAACAGTATGGCACTGGAAAACAAAGCAGACACAAAGACCAATGGAACAGAACTGAGAGCCCAGTTCTATATAAACCTCTCTGTATAAGGTCAACTAATATTTGACAAGGTAGCCAAGAATACTTAATGGAGAAATGATAGTCTCTTCAATAAATGGTTTTGGGTAAACTAGATAACAACGTGTAGAAGAATGAAATTGGGCTCTTATCTTACACCACTCACAAAAATTAACTAGAAATGGATTAAAAACTTAAATGTAAGACCTGAAACTGTAAAACTTTCACAAGAAAATAGGGGAAAAGGTCCTTAAATGGGTTTTGGCAGTTATTTCCCAGATTTGACACCTAAAGCACAAGCAACAAAAGCAAAACATAAACAAGTGGGACTACATTAAACTTAAAAGCTTCTGCACAGCTAAAGAAACCATCAGCAAAATGAAAAGGCAGCTATAGAACTGGAGAAAACATTTGCAAATCATAAATCTGATAAGGGGTTAATATCCAAAATATATCAAGAATTTTATACAACTCAATAGCAAAAAAACGAGCAACCAAATTAAAAAATGGGCATAGGAACTGAAAACACAGTTTTCCAAAAAAGACATACAAATGGCCAACTGGTAGATGAAAAGGTGCTCAACATCACTATTCATAAGGAAACACAAATAAAAGCCACAAGGAGATATCACCTCACACCTGTCAGAATGGCTGTTATCAAAAAGACAAGAGATAGGGGCCAGCCCGGGGTTCACAGGCCCGGATCCCAGGCATGGACCTAGCACCACTCATCAAGCCATGCTATGGCGGCATCCCACATAAAATATAGGAAGACTGGCACAGATGTCAGCTCAAGGCCAACCATCCTCACACACACATACACACACAAGAGATGAGATAAGTGTTGATGAGGATGTAGAGAAAAAGGAACCCTTGTGCACTGTTGGTGGGAATGTAAATTGGTACAGCCACTACGGAAAATAGTATGAAGTTTCCTCAAAATTACAAATAGAACTAGCAATCCCACTTCTGGGTATATATCCAAAGAAACTGAAATCAGGATCTCATAGAGATATCTGTGCTCCCATGTTCACTGCAGCATTACTCACAACAGCCAAGATATGGAAATAAGCGTCCATCAACAGATGAATGGATAAAGCAGATGTGGTATATATACATATATGTATGTATATATACAATGGACTATTATTCAGCTATGAGATAGAAGGAAATCCTGCTACTTGGATGGACCTTGAGGGCATTATGCTAAGTGAAATAAGTCAGAGACAAATATTGTATGATACCACTTATATGTGGAATGTAAAAAAGACAAACTCAGAGTAACAGAGAGTAAAGTGGTGATTACTAGGGGTTGAAGGGTGGGGAATAATGGGGAGATACTGGTCACAGGGTACAAACTTCTGGTTATAAGATTATCAGGTTTGGTGATCTAACCTACAGCATGGTGATTATACCTAATAATACTGTATCATATACTTGAATGTTGCTAAGAGAGTGGATCTTAAATGTTCCCACCACAAAAAAAGAATTAGTAACTAAGTGACAGGATGGAGGTGGTAGCTAACACTATGATGGTAAGCATTTTACAATTTATAAATGCATCAAATCAATACTTGTAATACCTTACACTGATACAATGTTATGTGTCAATTATATCTCGATAAAGCTGAGAAAAAAGGGAAAACAAACAAACAAAAAGTAGGACCTAAAAGACAAAGGAAATAAAGATGAGATGGCATTCCTCCTTTTCCCTTCACCTGGATCTGATTATATCTTTCTTCTTTTACTTCAAAGTAACTGACTTCTGTTTTTCTTTTACCTGCACTCCCCCCCACTCCCAATGCTGAATAAATCTTTTAGAGAAATATTGTTTATGGATTTCCATAATTTCAAATAATATTCATACACACAGTATGTTTTCTGAAACAGAGCTTCCCATTAGCTACTGGCACTTAACGAGAACTCAGAGACACTGTATCTATTGTCAGGAGCACTGACAGCCACAGGACCACCAACCTCACTGCTCATTTCTCTATGAGGGGAGTCGAGTCACGGGTAATTTTCTTCAGCTTGGACACAACTTCCTTTTACAATCTGTAATAAACCATTTCACTTTTGTGAATTTTCACCAAGATAAAATGTAATTAGGACAAGACAAAATGTATTAGAACTTGGATCATGTACTACTTTTCTGTGTATTTTATGTCTCATTCTTTAAGGAATACTCCTCCCTCCTCCACTTGATTCTGATGGGGCTATCAACCATGTGGCAGCCTGCCACCACCCACTGCAGAAGTGGATATGTCACCCAGACTGGTCAGTCAGGCTGACCACAGCCATCCTGGGGGTTCTTATGGATGGTGAGAGAGAAGGGGCAGCCCTTCTCTGAGATTGCTATCTGGAAGGAAGACATAAATCTAATCCTTAAACTTTAATCTACTACTTATAACCAAGAGTCTTGTTTATTAGAGTATTAGACAACCAGTTATACTTACTTTCATTCCTTTCTTCTATTGTTTGCTGCATTAATTTGTGTTTTTCTACTAAAGTACAATCCTAGATTTAAAAATACAACTCAAGAGGCTAATCTATCAGGGAATCCTCATAGAATTCTGCTATGGTATCCTAAATTAATAAAGAAAAGAGGTTTAGGGGCCAGCCTGTGGCATAGTGGTTAAGTTTGCATGCTCTGCTTCGGTGGTTCAGGGTTCACTGGTTGGGATCCCGGGTGCAGACCTACACACCACTTGTCAAGCCATGCTGTGGCAGGTGTCTCATATATAAAGTAGAGGAAGATGGGCACAGATGTTAGCTTAGGGCCAGTCCTCCTCAGCAAAAAGATGAGGATTGGTGGTGGACGTTAGCTCAGGGCTAATCTTCCTCAAAAAAAAATAAGAAGAAAAGAAATTTTAGGTTTCAAAAACAAGTCCCACAAGACTTACCAAAAGGTAATTTTCAAGAAAATTCCAAAGAATTGTTTTCTCTAGGAAAACAGTACAACATGACAGAAAGAAGATGAGCATTGAAGTCAGATCTCAGTTTAAATACCGTTTCAACTACTCAATAGCTATGTGAATTATTTAGCCTCTTCAAACATGTTTGCTTATGTAGAATATGAAGATAATACTTGTCTCAGAGCTTGAGACAAGGAAATGAGAGATCCTATGTCATATAGTTTAGGTGCTCAATTAATTTATCTCCTCATACTCCTTCCCAAACTCAACCTGGTGGTACTTTTTGCTTCTTAGATGAGTAACAAAAAGAGCTAATTTTTATCTAAAATTTACCATGTGCCAGACACTATAATAACTGCTTTACATCTATCTACTCATTTAATCCTCAAAACCCAACGAGACCAGGACTGCCGTTACCTACCTTTTTCCGGTTGAGGCACAGAAAGGGTAAGCAACCTGCCCAAAGTGTCACACACTCAGGAATCTCAGGCAGGATCTGACCCTAGGAAGTCCCCCAGAGTCTACACTTCCGCTGTGGTGCCTGTCTCAATAAACACAGGCATGGCATGTTGTAAACTACGAATTATGGGTGATTTGGTCAAGTCACTGATCTCAGATCTAAATAAATTAAGGAACCGTGATAATTAAATATGGGAGTGACTGGAAAGGGAAATTTGAGAACATGAATGGCTAAAGGGCAAGCCTCCAGTAAACTGGGCCACATATTCATTCATTCAGCAACTCCCGAGTGCCAGGGGACGACAGCTACTAATCCAAACACCGAGAAGGCTCCATCAGGAAGACAGACTAGTCTCTGCTCTGATGGAGCACAGGATGCGTGGATAAGGATGAGGCAGCAGTGAGCACTGCAGACCAGGAGGTCTGCGAACACCCCTCTGAAGGAGGACCATGAAAGTGGAGATGCAAATGACAAGAAGCCCATCCTGCGAAGATTAGGGGGAAGTGCATTCTAGGAGAGGAGACAGCTAGCACCAAGTCCTTAGGTGGCAACGGCCTAATCATGTTTATGGAAGGGAAAAGAGGCCAGTGTGGCAGGAGTACAGTGAGCGAGGGGACAGCTGAGAGCAGAGAAGCTGGAGATGCCGGCTGGGGCAGATACGCGAAGCTCTCAGCCCAGGAGGACTGGGATGGTATCTCTACTGCAATGGGCAGTAAGGTACAAAGCAAGAGACTGGTAAGATCTGATTTACATTCATTTAAGATCCCTTGGGTTGCTCTGTGGAAGCAGACTGTAGGGGCAGTGGTGGAGGCAGGGACACCAATGGGCAGGGTGGTGCTGGCAGAGACAGACAGCAGTGGACGGTTTCAGGCTTGTCTCTACCGAAGGCAGCCCTTCACAGCCACCTCAGCAGGTTTCACAGTGAAGACCTGACAGACTGATTTAGAGTCTTTGTCTTAAGAATTGACAGCAGTCAAAAATAAGCTAGTATCTGGCAAGGGAAAGAGTAGCATAGTTTTAGAGCAGACTATATCCTTTTGAAAGAGCTGAAGGGAAGAATAAACAGGGACAACGGTAAAACATGGGTATTTCCCTGAAGCGTATGATCCTCAATTAACCAGTTTGGAGGCGACATGGGCCCAGAGTCACTAATGCCAGAACATCTGACCTGGACGGGATCTCAGAGGTTATTTAGTGCAAACCAGCACTTACTAGTTGTGTGAACTTGGAGAAGCAACCTACAACTTCTCTGAATTCAGTTTCCTGATTTGTAAAATTACAATCATAAAACTAGCTCCCTTCTGGGGCTGTGGTGAGGACGAAACAGCACTGCATGTGTTAAAGGGCCGCACACACTGCCTCAGTGATCTCCTCTCTCCTCAGCCACAACTTCCCCGGCTTTTCTTCTCTTATCTGAGGCTCCTCAGTTAGCTTTCCGAATCACACAGTAAATTCCATTCTTTTCTCCAGTTCACCTCTCCTTTGACGAGAGGCTGAGCTGATGAAAAGTTCACCTGGGTTAAAATTTGGGGAGCTGGTTTAGACCCCTTATCCTCTGCCCCAGTGTTAAAAACAGCACACTCACCAGGCTGGCCTACCTTGTCCTGTCCTAACATCATGGTCATTACCATCTGAGCTCCTGTCGTCCTCACCTGGTATGCCACCTCTTCCCTCTACTTCTTAGCCACTTCATGAACTTCTCTCTCAGAGTCTAGCCTAAGGTCAGTTAAATCAATATTAATGGTTATTGAGCCTCATTGATTTCTACCTACTCTGAACTTCTGTAAAGTTATAATTTGTACTGTGTGACTTAGCCCTTAATCACATATTCTTACATTGTCTGTTGTTGCTTCATGTGCCCTTGTCTTATCATTTCAATCAGAATGCAAGCTCCCTGAGGCACATTTTACACTTCATCTGTATCCTCAAGAGCATGTGGCAAAGATGAGCACACAATCTATGGGCGGAAATACTTGTGGGTCAATTGGCTGGACCTTGAGGGATCTTCTTTCCAGGCACATCTCATAGTAAAAGGCTAACTAAAATACCCAGAGCATGAAGGACAGTTAAAGACATCAGGTGGGCTCCATCAGTTGGCTTCGCCAACGCCTATCCTTGGAGATGGAAGGCATTATCCAAACAGCAGGTGTGTGTTAACGGTGGAACCAGAAATGTGATATCCAACAACACACCCTCCTTATCTAGGCAACTGTCTTAGTCCTTCCCTCACTGACGTAACAAGAGGACCAGGCGCCATAATGGTTAGAGTTGGCTTCACTTGGTTCACGACTCCAGCTCCTTTCTTGCTTCTTCTCACAGAGCTGTCTGTTTGTTCACCATTAGGAGTGCCTGAAGTGACTCCTTCCTGATTGCATGGTGCCCTCTCCAGTATGACATCACCTCACAGTCTCCTCGGTTATGAAACTGCCTATCCGTATAATGGACATGATGTGGCCCTGTGAGGATTTACTTTCCTCATGACTTTTGAGTCAGTAAGACTGCCTGCCTCTCATGAAGTTCCTTCAGCATCCTCCTGTAGGACTGGGTGTAGGAATCATCAATGTCTTTGGTGACCTTCTTCAATTAATCTTAAAGCGTCTTTACATGGTAGGCATGCCAGCCTGCCTCAGTCTGTCTCTCTATTGGGCTTTGTTATCGGTTTGCTAACTCTCTCCCTTCTGCCCTGTCAAGGTCTTTCCACTATAAAAACAACACATGTGACAAAAGGCCAGGGCTCGAACAACACAGTAAATTAGATTTAGGCCCTGTGCAATGAACTTTCAGCTCATCAGAAAGATGCTGGTGCCAGAGAGGTGGTGACACCGGGCAGAATCCAGCCATTTCAGGAGAAAAGGCCTGAGAACTCGGCATGGGACCTAGTTTCAACTTGTTGTCATTGACCTTAGGCAAGAAATGGGACTTCTACAGGCCTGTGATTTCCCTTCTCTAAAGTAAAGACAGCAAAGACCCATCCTCATGGTGTCCGGGCTGTCTTAGGAGCCCACCGTGAGGGAAGCAAGCCAGCGTCCGTGAAGCCGGGGAAAAGGCCGAGGGGACCCGCCATTGCCGTCACCAGCACCACCGTGGCGGACGGCGCTGGAACGGCCCGCGGCTCTGGGGACCACTTCTAAGGCAGAGTCTTAGAAGAACGTCAGAGAGGCAGGCGGCGGGCCGAGCGCGGGGCCGGGCGCCGACTCACCGGCCGCGGCGTCGTAGGCGTAGGCCGACAGGCGCAGCGTGGCGGCGCAGTGCTCGCACTGGAAGCAGCTCCGGTGGAAGAACTTGCCCTCGGCGCTCAGCCTCTCCATCACGTAGACTCGCTTCTGGCAAAAATAGCACGTGTCGCTGCCTCCCAGGTTCTGCGGGAACTCCTTCTTCACGGAGCCCTGCGGGCGGGGGGCGGGCGGTGAGGGCGGCGCCCGGGGCCCCTGCGCAGCCCCGACCCTCGCGGAGCCCGCCGGGTGGCCGCCGGCTCTGGCGCCCCCGGGAGCAGCGCGCCACTGCGGGCTGCTGCCCCACCGCCCACACAGCGCTTGGCATGAGGTGTTAATCAACAGCCAAGAGGAAACCCAAGTCCCTTTCACAGAATTTCCCAACAATCAAACCAAATCATTTTGGCAGAAGTCTATCTTGAAGGTAGCATAAAAATGTATACTCAGTGTTCACGTGGTTCTGCATGGATGTGGGTCCCCTGGACTCTGGAGCAATCACTTTTAGAGAATCCACACAACATTCTAAACAACTACTTCAGTCCTAGAAATTCAGTTACAATCAGACAATCTCAAAAAACATGACCATCACATGGCATATATCAGCTATATTTGTTACTAAGCTACTTAGAACAAACCGGGTTTGTTTATCACAGCTGTGTGCTATCTAGACAGACAGTGCCTCAGTACATCTCTTACCAGTTCCTTCTTGTCTAGAAGGGTTTTGGGCTGTTCTTTCCTTTGAAGCTGATTGGCTATCTGCTCAGCCAATGAGCTCACTCCGCCCGTGTACATCTTTATATACTTCTATTGGTTGGAGATTATAAAATGACCAGAATGAAGGGAAATGAGAAGGGAAAAAAATAAATAAATTAAGAAGACAGGAAAAAAAATCTTTGAAAGGCATAAAATGAATCAAGGTGCAGCAGCAAACCATGCCAACACAGTGCCCACAAGCAGGGAAACTTGGTGGTAAGAAAAGAGGTGTCAGTGTCCACACACAGGGATCAGCAGAGGGAGGAACAAGAGCTGCAGGAATCAAGTTCAGGGCGGGAACTCAGTCTTTCACATCTTCTTGGAATATATAGTGCAGGGCAATGCGGAGGTGGGAAGACAGGATGCACACAAATATGGAGGAGAGTAAGAAGGGCCTACAGCCCAGTGACTCAAATTACATCTACAGAATTCAAGAGGAACAACTCCCATCCAGGCAGTGGATACCAGATTGACAGCATGTCTCAAGGGTCTGGGAGAGGGCTTGGGAAGTTGCTTCCTCATTTAGAGAAAAACCAAACTCACTCTTGCAAAGGCTGACTCTCCCCTTGGGTGACAGATGCCCACAGCCTAGTATAACTTGTGACGGTCTCCCTCCTCAGGATTAATGCTTCCCTCAAAACCACTGTCACACGCATCCAACATTCCTGAGCTTTATCTGGAGAAAGCCTTCTCATGCCCCTCTCCCTGTCGATATTTATGTGTCTACCCAGGCACTGAGGTCAAAGCCTTCCAGACCGGGCTGGGCACCTCAGACACCGCGCAGCCATGTTGCTTAGCTGAGTCCTGGGAAGTCAGAATGTGTTTCTAGTCCAGGAGGGATTATTTTTTACAGGTTGAAAAAAGATAAAAGACAAAACCCAACCAACTCAATCCTCTTCCTGGCAATGTTGAAGAAGTAGCAGGAGGAAACCACCAAATTCCAATCGCAAGCCTTCCTGCTAGGCAGCCCGGCTTTGAGCCTGTCCCCAGGGAATGAGGTCAAAGTTGCTGGTGGCCCTTCAGAGTCCATGTCCAGGTCAGCCTTCTGGGTGGAGGTGGCCAGGACACCTAGCACGTGTAATACTCCTCTCATGAACTGTGTGGAGCAAGGGAGCTGCCTGCCAGTGCGAGGAGCCCTGGCTCTAATTCCGACTCAAACACACCAGGGACAGTTGTCCTGGGGTGTCCGCAACGCTGTTAGGAAGTGGTTTGAGTAGACAGACACACAGGGAATTGCTGGCCTGAGCAATGGCTTGCTCTGGGCCAGGACAAACAAGAGAAGTGCTCTGGGGTACACTAACCCGATGTAAACATGAGAACCACAGAAGCACAAACAAGCAAACAATCCCCCAGGTTCAGCTGGAACCGAGGAGCCAATTTTATTTTTTGATTTAAAATAAGGAGATTTCCAAGGATTGGTGCAATTTGCCCATTAACTCCACAGCGTATACTCATTAGTGGTCAAGAAAAACAAGTCGCTCTTAGATTAAACATTCTTTAAGTTAGAGATATTAGGGAAGCTTAGGCCTGGAGCAGACAGATACCAGGCAGAGCTGAACAGATCCTTCAATAGCTGACACAGAGGGAGCAGAAAATTGCGCTTCTGTCATTCCACAGCAGACAAGCGAGAGCGTGAACCAGGTGTCAAGCCCGAGACGGAAACACTGAGCAGGATCGGGGTCCTCACGGCTCAGCCAGGACCCTTTTCTCCCACCAGAAACCAGCACCCGCAGCAGTTGCAACCCAGGGCTGCTGCGTGCAAAGGTATTGTCACATTTAGTTCTCTGCGATGTGGCAATACTGACAAGCATCCCCTCCAGAGAAGTGGAGACGCAAGTACGATTTGTTTCTGGCGTGAAGAGCAGATGGCTCCCTTCTCCCGCTCTTACACAGCGGAAACGGAGCAATCGCTGGACTTACTGTGTCACACACGACATACACATCTGCCCCCACACACACGCGTAGTCTGGTGCTATCTCAAGAAGAGGAAACGTACACAGAAGGGCAAAAAGACCCTCTAATCTCTCTGTAAACTACTCTGCTACTCTGCAGCTGGATCAGCTCGACTGCAGAAAGCAGCAGGGTTCATTCCTTAAAGGACTACGGTTTAAGAGGCAGCTGGCATACTGTCTACTCACCATTCCACTTAAGAGATTTAATTATACTATGACTCATATTTTATACCCATATAAATATGAAGAGCTTTGGAGTTCAAAAAGTTAACGGCTGAAAAATGTTTTACATTATTTGGTATAGTTGACATACAATGAAAGTGAGCTTACGTCGACAGAATTTGATGCAATGAAAGCTAGCAGCCTCTTTAACTTTTGGTGTATGCCTACAGACCTCAAATGCTAGAGAGACACAGACACAGACACACACACACACACACAACCGGATTCCTACAGGAGAGAGCCAAAGTTAAGGGCTCTGCAATCTCCCTTGGGCCAGATGACATCTGTGGAGGTGAAGTGAGCAGAGGCTGAAGAGGACACACATCTGTGCCAAGTCCCGGCCGTGCTACCTGTCGGAGGGAGTCAGAGGAGGGAGAGGCGGGGCGGTTGGAAGAGCGGAGACTAAGAGAAAGCTCCCACTGGTCAACAAAAAATCGACGAGAAGGTTCAGGCTCTGGCTATAAAATACAAGATGGAGAAAAAAAAAATCAAAAGAAATATTAAATAAAAAGTTACACACTGACCTGAACATAAGGAATTTGGCAGTTTTAGACCCTTTTACTTTAGACCTTCATCTAAATAACAGATGTAGTAAGAAATAATCTTTGCTCCCAGAAGCACATATGGCTCATTCAAAGCTTCCTCTCTGCTTTGGGCTCGCGCTTCCCTCATGCTTACATGGAGGCTGCTCTGGCACGTGGCCACTGTAGCTGTGGGCCACCTCTGAAAGCCTTGTGTTCTCTGACTCCATCCACCCTCAGGGGATAATGCTGCCAGCCAGGAGGTGGCGGAGGGCAGAAGCTGTGTCCTGCTCACACACGTGCCCTTTGTGCTCTGCAGAGCCCCTCACGTGGCCTGAGCTTGGATTTCTCCTGGGCAGAAGGAGAGTCTACCATCTTATCACTCTGCTAGCCTTACAAATAGTGGACAATAGAGACAGCAAATCTAGAGTGAAGCTCGCTTTTTCTACTTAAAGGCCAGGAATGTGGCTTCTCCTCCTCCTGTTGCTAGTGCTGGAGAAATTCTGCTTGCCAAGGAGCCAGCCAAATACCAGCAACGATCAGGAGAAAAGACTTGAGACCCTCAAGTCCTCTGCAGACTGCATGCAGTCTGGGCCAGGGTCCTCCTCAGTGGTGGGCTCATGCACCCAGGAACCCTCCAGTCCCCAGAGAGTGAGAAGGTGGCTGAGAGTTCTGGAAAGCAATAACTGCTTAGTTTCCTGCCAGGTTCAGGTGAAATATTTGCAGGGTGGAGGGAAGAGGCACTGCCATGGTAACGAGAAGCTCTCTGTCCCTCCAGCTCCTTGCAGATCTATAGCACCCCTATTCAGCCCACAGTAACTTCACAGCTGCGAGGGTGTGCCATATGCAGCGCCACCAATCCCTGCTCCAGACGCTGGCTGCTCACTGCCCTTAGCTCAGCACTCAGGGCGGGCTCAGCAACACAGGCCCTAGGGTGCGGCTGGTGGGGGGTGGTCTCTGCAGAACAGTACCCCCCACTAGAAAGAAACGAGAGAGGAGACTGAGCTCTGGGGGCAGGGAGTGGGGCAGCAGTCAGGGAGACAGTAGGGCAGAGAGCAGCTGAGTGCACAAGCAAGATTATGGAACAGTGGAGAGAACGTCCTGGAAGAGAACCCAAATAGTGACCCTCAAAAGTATGTAGAAGAGGAGCCCTGCAATGAAGAATCTGGAAATCAGCCCAGTGGGAAAGGAAAGAAAACTCCCGGCAAACCTCACTGCATCCTGAGCTCAGAGTCCTCCCTTCCTCCTGTGCACAGCAGCCCCAGCCTTCCCAGAGTTCTTCCCTGCCAACCTTTCCTTTTATTCAACAAACTCCTTTTAGTCTTTGTTTAGGCACCGTTTCATTAAAAATCATCAGGACCTCATGAAATACACATTCCCCAAATGCAGGACATTGCCCTGCTCAGTGAAAACGCCTAATTTTCTTTTTGAGAGGAATGTAGCCTGGGAAGAAGGAAGAAAGAGGCTGGGCACACACGGTGCTCAGGGAGGAGGCAGCCTCCGCTCTGGGGCTCCTCTTGGTGCCCCGGCAGGGCCCGGCTATGCGTGCTCGCGGCAGCACACGGCTGCCCACTCCAGGCTGGGTGAGAGGCTGTGGGAAGGCAGCAGGATGGCCAGCTGGCTTCCCACTGGACCCGGGCAGTGACCGGCTCACTGCTTAGCCCCAGCTGCACTTCTTGGAGGGCAGAGGCAGAAGGCAGGTAAAAACAAAGGAAAAAGGCCCGTGTGAAACGAAGAGCAGAGATGTCTTCACTTGAGCTGCAGAGCTCCACCCACTGAGAGAGCGTCCTCAAGGGTAACAATAACAAACCAATACAGTTTCATGAAATAAGCAGGCTCTGGAAATGGGCATCTCTGCACTCCACCAAATTATACGATGGCCAGGTGTAGCAGTCACTTCTCCCTTTAGTTTTCTAGAAAAGACTGGCTAAAGCTTTTCATTATGCACCCGCATCTTGTCATTATCTTCCTTCCCCTCCACCCTCTTCATGCTTGAAAACTCCCCACACCAGTAAGAGCTGTGGCTCTCTCAGCATTTCCACCTCAAGACCCCTGACTATGAAAACACTAGCAAATGCCACTGCATGATGACCTAGACCCTCCCCTATGAAGCTACACCTGATAGGCAAACGCTATCCCACCACCGGCACATATTCTGGAATGGGAAAGGTGGACAGAAATGGAAGTCAGTAAGGCCTTTACAACACAAGCTCTTAGGATTCGTATCTCCTCTGAATGCCGGGTGGATGAATGCTTCACTGTGAATGCTATTTGCATGGATCAACATTGTTAGCAAAAACAATTCTGGCTCTTGGCTGAGTGACAAGAGCGTGCAAAAAGCAAGGGGAGAGGGGACCGCCCCACCTTCCCTCTGCCCCCACCACAGCGTGCCCCATCTGTTTGGCTCTCAGCATCCATGCCGCAGTTCATGCTCTTTTACCCTCTCATGGTGGGGACTCTGCTTGCCACGGCTGTCAGCACCAAGATCCCTGTAAGTCTGTTGGCAACAAAGTAGAAACTTAAGCTCCATTCAAATGTTCTACTTGGACCTACTAAGTGACAGTGCCAGAAATTCAGTTTATTTCAACACATATCCCCTGCCCCCTACTGATTCCCACCCCAAGTAACCACAATCCCATCTACGTGAAATCCCATGACCCAAGGACAACTTTTTGCACAGCCATTCTGCCCATCTGGCCTCTAACGAGGTCAGCTACATAGAAAAAGAATGAACTATGGTTAGTACAAAGATGGAGCAAACATATTTCTCTCACATAGTGGCACAAGATCAGAGGCATCAAATGGAAGGTTTAAAAGGAGAGGCAGGTTAGAAGAGTACAAGTTTCCACAACAAGACAGAGAGGAAAGGTGGGGAGATGGAAAGTGGCTGGAATAAATGACCATTACAACAGCCCAGAGGAAACTCCAGTGTGGGGAGTGGTCCCTGAATGGGAACATGAGGCCAAAGCATAATTTATTAAAGGGAGAAGTGGACAAAGATTGGAAGCATTTTCAGTAAATAAGCAGGAACATGTACATGGGAGGCAAGGGAATCTGCAAGACAGACACACAGCTGCCTCCACGGACCTGGGGAAACCACTAACAGCAATCATGGCAACAGGGAAGACCACGTTCATCACCCTCTGGATAACTGAGGATTCACCTTACGGCCTTTTTCTGGTGGAGAAACTGATCCCGAGCTTCCAGTGTGGCCACTCTTACCCAGAGCCCATGAGCACTGTCTCAGCAGGCAGGACGAGGCCAGAGCTAGGGCTCCGGTCACACGAGCGGGTTCAGTTCCCGGCTCCATTACTCACTGTGTGACCTTGCACAAACTACTCTGCCCCCTGCCCTATGCTTCAGTCTCCTCATCTGCACAATGAGATGATAACTGAGCTGTCCTGTGGGGTTATGGTGGGAACTGATGAGACAACCCCTGAAGGAACCGAGAGCACTGCCTGGGTCACAAGCAACGCTCCTACATGTAAGTTCTCATGGAGAGACAAGGCACAGGGAGCCACTAAACCTGCAACAGTTCTGTTCCAGACCCAGGGACATAGGCTACTCCTTTAAAAATGAGACGCATCACTAGGAGTCACCTTTTAAATAGGCCACCTTAGTTGAGAACATGTCCTTCCATAATCCTGCCTTTAAAATTAGTGTTTTATTTTATAGGGACATACTACAGAGGTCAACAAAGCCATTCCATAAATAGACTTCATGTAAGTGTGTTTGCCACAAACGTATACTTGCTGTCCTCATTGACCGTGTCTGCAGTTAACTCCTCTATAAAGAAGTTTTCGAATGATCTGCCTGGAGTGTGAGTGCAGTGGATGGGAAGGGTAGGTGTTTGCTGGCAGAAGTTGCATAAGCAAGATGTAGAACTCTCAAAATAGAAGGAACCAAACTCATATAGTGAGGGCCTATAGAAAGCCTCCAGAAGTTCATCTTAACTTTAGCTCCTTGGGCAGTAAGACAAAAAGGCTGCTTTAAATGAGGTTAGACAGATATGTGTTGCCCTCCAGGGCCTCTGACAAATACAGTTGAAATTCTAGTGGTGACTGCAGAGTTGTACTCCTATGATGTGGGATGAAACTAAACCGGGTTTGACTGTATTATGCACTATCTTGAGGTCCAATCCGAAATTGCTCATTTGTAGCAAGAAAGGTTGCTTCTGCTACAAATGGTTTCTACACATGGTCTTTCTGTTTTCTAACAGTTATCATTAAAAAGAGGGAATATTAATTTGGTCTCTGCCCTAGCCACCTACACAGGCAGGCAGGAAGACAAAGACAGGACAACAGAACATGCAGAGAAGATCACCTGCTGGCTGCCACGCGCCCGACAGGGAGGTGGAGTAGGGGGAGGAGAAAGTGTGATCACTTTTTTGGGACAGGTCCGAGAACGCTCCTTTTCCCGTCGCTTTTACACCAACAGACACAAACAGAGAGAACATTGGTGAAACAGTGGGCACATTTAGGCTGGTTCTGGAAGGACCAAAGGGCATTTGCCAAAAGCACGCCAGAGATGGTCTGGGATCACCTCTGGCCCCAGAGACCACCTTCCTCGCCCCTCCATCCTCACTGCACGGTCAGGGAGGCGGCTTGTCGCAGTCTACTGTTGGCCTCCAGGCCAGGCTCGCACTGTTTGCTGGTGCGGATCACAAAGGTCATCTCTGCAGCTGGTCTTGGGGTCAGAACGTGAGCGCAGCACTTTGTAAATGCCAGGGATCAAGGACATTCTTCTTGGCTGGTTTTATCAGGGAAATCGTGGGGGAGAAGGAATGGGCTTTGTTATAAATAGAGAAAAAGGGCCCATAGGCCATCATCACAAGGGAGCCTGGCAAGTGCCTCTGACCGCCCAGTCACCTGGACACCCACAGTAGTAGAGCAACTCTTCTGCAGGGCCCACCTCAGACAACATCCTGCCATGGCTTCCCTCTTCTCAGTCCCCTCACTCACACTCAAAAGGGTCTGGAAAACTAGTAAGGAAATGTAAGGAAGAACAGGAAACAGGATCTTTCACTAAATGAGCACCATACACATGTCCATGGACCATTTCCCCATTTTGCCCTCTTTTTATTGCCCATTTTGCATTGCACACCTTCCTTGTGAAGCTGTCTAGGATTTGCAGAGCCCTTCAGTACTTAAGAAACAATCACACACTCCTCAGTCGGAGAAGCCCTCAATTTCCTCACACCCAGAATGACCACGTGGGGAGCACACAGTAACACCTGGGCAGGAGAGGGAGCGGTGGAAGTTCTGAAGCCAAGGGAAACAGTGCTACTGTTTGTCCCGACCTCACAGGACAATCTACTTCCAAACCAAGGCTGGTTAATGTGCAGTTTGCCTGCAGGATGCATTTCTGAGATCAAAAGACTAAAGGGTGGGGAGGGAAGAGCCAAAGTGTTTACACGGGAAGGCAAAAAAGAGAAGTCCCTGGCAAGCAGAGCTGTTGTTCATTTCCCTCTTCCATCCTGTAACCTGAGTTAAAGCTGGTCCTTGTGCCAACACGGCCACCACTGCTGTGCTTGCCACACCCTTGTGCCTCACTCCGAGCCACTTCAAGAGAAACACAAAGTGAGTCATTATAAGGGGCTGCCCATCAGCCCCCGCCTGCTGCTGGGGGCCAGCAGTCAGGGTGAGTGAGAAGCAGAGGGCCCCAGCACACCACTGGAGCACCATCCCTGATTAGTGCTGAGAAGAAATTATATGTGAGTATAATACATTTCACACGGATGTAAGAACTGTGAGTTATAGTTCTTTCACAGCCAAGCAAATTTACGATTCCTAACTCTACATCACATGAAGCACACACAGGGTCTCACAGGATGTTCACTGCTCACAGTTTCTCACTTATCCATCCGGCTCCTCTTTTGAACTGTGTGCTCTGTGCCCATTGCATAGAACCCAGGTTTGACTTCAATGGCTCTACTCTGCTGCCTGCATAGCCTCATAGTATTCGTCAACAGGAGAAACAGCACAAATACCAAGCTCCCGACGCCCTGCAGTACATGCAGCTCAACCAGGCGGTGAGCTGGCGTGCCCATCTTCACCAGCACGGAGGCCCCCACTGCGCCAGGTGCCTCGGGTCGCACTCGCTGACCTGAGACTTCCCAGCAAGCCCACCCAAAGCTGCTCCAGGCACGTGCCATTTGTAGTTAGTTGTTCAGCTGCCTGCACATCTTACACCTGACCCACCTTCTCCTTTGCTCCTCCTATCTCAGGTGACCGTTACGAACATTCTAAGAATCTAGAGTTTGGGGAATTTAGCTTCGAGTTCACTTTCTCCTTCAGCAGATACTCAACTAAAGATAACCTTTCAAAATCATACCTTCCACCTAGACTTCAAGGCAAAGGGTAAGAAAATAAAATGGAAGTGAATCCCCCTGAGGTTTCTCTTCCTTTGTTTCAGAAGATCTCCCCCGGGCAGAGGGAAAGAGGCGGCTTGGCTCTCTTGCGAGTCTGGACATTGCTCCTGAGTATCCACCTCATCCTCGCAGCCCTGCCTGTCACGTGGCATATTATTAAAGGAAAGGTTAGAGAGGAACATTTCGCCCTGAATATAATTCAAATAAAACCCAACTTGCCCTCCTCAGTACCTCCCAGGAACAGCCGTCACTTCACGCACAGGAGGAAACAGAGGCTCTGCTCGCAGCCTCTCAGAGTCCGAGCCCACGTGACAGCAAACCCCAGACAGTGGACCGAGGTGGGCTCACCAGGCTGCGATGCAGGAGAACACACAGAGGCCTCCCATCCCGCTGACGGGTGTCCCATCAGCCACCAGAGGCACCCCCCCTTTCTGTCCTGTTCTGTCCTGCTGATGAGAAATAGCTTTCCAGGAGATTCTGCAAAATTTTTAGTGAAAATTTCCAAAGTATTTTAAATGTAGACAAAACACCAAGAAAATGCCCGTGATTATCTTTGTCCAGGGTTTGAAACAAACAAACAAAAATCACAGTCTAAGACTATTTCTTGGATGATATTTTCCTATTTAACATGCAAGGCTCCAGTGCCCCAATTCCCAGGCTCGACAGTTTCCAGATTCCCCCTCCAACGGTCAGGACACATGTTAGCAAAAAGTCAACTTGGAACAAAGGTTACAAAACCCCAAAGGCTGTGGTGCCTGAATGACCCACCACACAGCTTCAGCTAGCTTCCACACCAATGAACAGCCCACTATCTTAACTGGTTTCCCAAATCCAAAGGAAGAAACAACTCATGCGATACAATCAGTATTGCCTATTAAACTTGCTCCCAGCGTCACTTCTCAAATGAGCAGAGGCTTCTGCCCTTGTGAACTTGGACTCTATGGGGCCAGCCCCAACCCTGGCTGGCTCAGAAGAAGGAGGGGTGGGAAGGCCCGGGGAGGGAGCACCAATTCTGGCCCCTGGGGAGCTCCTTTACCTGTTTCCACTGGGGGATGGAAGCAGGGCGACCCTGCTCAGGCAGGCAGCAGGATGGCTGGCTGACCCCACGCTCCTGTGTCGGCTGTGACACACAGGCCAAGTATGGGTGGGGGCAGGACATGGAGACAAAACAAAATAAAATACATTAAGGTAGGAGAAGACACATGTGTTCATGGAGGACAGATACATAACTATGAACTGGGGTGGGGGGGGACCAGACTATGGTGACACAGAATTAATTCTTAGAAAGTTATACCTATAAAGGAAACAAAATACACCACTCCCCCCGCTCCCCCACCAAAAGCAAATGCAGAAGAGAAACAGAAGCTGTAATTCTCATTATCCTTTACCCCAGCTCAATGCTCTGAACCTAAACCACTAATTCTCGTTTGGAAAACTAATCTTTCGACTCAAAATGAGGAAAGCAACCTTCTTTTAGGGGCACACTTCCTCTAAGGAAGAGCATGCCCACCTTCTTGAGGGGGGCTGTCAGAGCTGCCAGGCCACCTCAAAGGTTTACCAACAAACAGTATCATCTTCTCTGTGAGCCACAGCATGAAATGACTGGAGTCTAAAGATTAATAACCAAAGAGCAGATGTAAGAAGAAGTTAATGATGGCCAGACTCCAAGCAAAGTCAGTCCGACCCCCGGGTCCAGAGGAACAATGGCTGACGTGTAAGGAGATGAAAAAGAATGAAGAGAATGAGCTCCCTCTCCTCCAGGTGCTCTCTCAGGTCATTGGGGAGTTTTATAAGAAACTTAACAGTGTGACTCTCAAAATCCCAGCACCTCCTGTTATAAGACGTCCTAGTGACTCAGCCAAGCAGGAGAAGAGACAAGGCCTAACAAAGGCATCTCGGGTCAAATGCTCCTATCTGCACTCTCACAAGCATGACCTTTGGGAATGCAAGTTAGGACCCGTGAAGAACCTTTGACATGTTCATACTCTCAACCTGGTTTGAGAATAGCCCAAGAACATCATCTGGAACACACAGAAGCAGCTTGGTAACTAGAATGTCGGCCTCTGTACTTCATCACAGAAGAGAGAAAGGATGCTAACACACAGCACTAGTGGATGACTGTGGAAAGCAAGGCGCACACACATTTTCCAAGATGCTTGTAAAGGGTTTGCAACATGGAAATATGCCCAAAGTTACATGAAGAAAGCAGAATACAAAAGTGTATATTAAGAATGACCTCAACTATGAAAATAAGAATGCACGAAAAAAAGATCAGAAAGAAACATTAACAGATGACAGGTGCCTTAATTACCTGTATTACACTTTTCAGCATTTTCCTCAATAAGCATATACTTCTCTTACAATTTAAATATGGATGTGTGTATGTGAACATGCACTCCTGTATCTCTACAGGGGTTTTTTAAAAACCCTCTGCTGATTTTTGTCACCGACACCTTGAACTGAACGGTGAGGATACAGCAGTCCTGACAGCACAGGAAGCGCTCTTCTCCGCCGCAGCCAGACAAGGGGGAGACCAGACAGCAGGCCTGACGGCACGAGAGCTCGAGTCTGTGACACAGCTCACCTCACATGACTGGAAAGATCCCTCCCTCCTCTGTGGCCAAACCGAGTGTGGACAGGCGAGGGATGGGATGGGGTTACCTGTCTCCTCATGCCAGTGGACTGTGGCGGTGCGTTCTCTTCAAATTTGGCCAGCAGCTGGGTTGCCATGTACTTCACTTTGTTCTGGTTACCGAGGGCCACGTCCATCCTCCTGTCCGTCAGAGTGCTCACCAGCGTGGGCCTTCCTCCTCGGTAGCCCCGGGGTACCTCCTCCTGATGAACAGTGACCACCCGAGAACCAGCCTCCATTAGAGGAGCCCCCTAAACGCCCTTTGCTCAGAGACACACAGCCAGTGTCTGGACCAGCAGCTGGATTTCTGCTTTAGGTTGAGCTTAACAGCTCTCTTCAAGGTTCTAATCTCAAGATGGGGTCAGCAAGGCCTTGGTGTGTGGGGCAGTATAAAGAGGTACTGGCACTTTTGCTGGTATTGTCATATCCCAGGAAAGCCAGTGTCCTTTGCCAAATGTGTGATTCCAAAGAGACAGGAACGCCCAGTGCACGTGTGTGTATGTTCCCGTGGATGCTCTCCAAAAAGTTAAACAAAAACAAAGTCGCAGAAAAAGCACCTGTGCACAAAAACTCTCATAAAAGATGAACACGAAAAGGTATAGCAACACCAATGTGGAAATTAAAAAAAAGGCTATTCAGTATAATCATTCTACAAACCCCAGATAATTCTCACCTCTTCTGATTGACTAGTCTTTCTCCTCTTTCCAGCACCATCCAAGTCCTTTTCCTTTTTATCCTACACCAAGAAAGGAGGGAAACGGCATTATTCTAGACCCTATACCTTGTCATTAGGTTTGCAGCTGGTAAGAAAAACCTTCTTACGCTTACCTTGGGAGAACGCTTCCGAGAGATGGTCTGCCCGAGTTTGCTTAGGAAGGAGATGGGAGACTTGGTGCTGGCTATCAGGACTGCCTTCTCCTCAGCATTCAGGGCCAAGGCGTCTGCGAACAGAGAGCGATGTGGAGGAGAGTCCTGGACGGGCCTCAAGGCACTGACCAGAACTGCCCTCCTTGCAGGGGTGCCTGGGACCCAGAGATTCTGCAGGTCCATTGGCTCCGACAGGAGGACAAGGAGCGCAGCAGGAAATGCCACAAGGGAAACGCACACTGAGGTCTGGATGTTGAGCCTTCTCTTCTCCATCCACACACAAAAAATTAACTCTTTTCCACAGCCCACTTCAGTCACAAAAACCTCCACTTTTGCTTTTCAAAAGTTGGAATCTGCCTATGATTGTTAGTTACAGAGTGCTGAAGCCTCACCTTTGGGATAAAAATTTCAGGGCAGAGAGAGAAGGGAGGGAGGGTAGGAGCAACTGGTTTTGATGTATGCAGACACCATGCACTTGGCCGCACATAAGGGGGGCCCTCCCTGAGTGCGTCTGTCAACATTAGAGCTGTGGACTTCTGCTGTAGGAACCACGTATCTAATTAGAAAAAGCCACAGACATCTACAGAGTACACGGGCTGGAAGACATTGGATAAACACATACTCTGAGGGTTCCAATGTTTTATTAGTAATAATAGTAATTTTAAAAATAACAATTGAAATATAATATATTGCTAATATTTATTAAGTGCTTCAATTTGCCAAACATTCTTCTTAGCATATCACAATCTAATTATATATATAATCCCCATTTTACAGATGGGGAAACTGAGGCACAGGGCAATTTAGTAACTTGCCTAAGGGTGGAACAGGTGGACATACTGAGACCCAGGTCAGGTACCACGGTCAACACTTTTAAACATTATCCTATACTTACTCCTAGGGACAATAAATGACAACAGGAATATGTTTTTGTAGCACTCTAACAGACTGAGGCAGCAGGCTGAGGGCCAAGAAAAGATTTTTAGAAAACACTAAAAGGTAGGAGAAGAAAGAGAAGCCAGAGAAGCAACAGTCACAGAACAAAGAGAACGAGACAAGTATATAGGACAGGGTCACAGAAACCAAGAAGGAGAACTTCAAGAAAAAGGATGTCATTTCACAGTGCTGAGCAATGCAGAAATGCCAAGTGCAGGAGAGATGAGAAATGAGAAAATAAATGGATTTGGTGATTCTTCCCAGCTGTGGAGGACAGCTTTGGCAGAGCAGGAAGTACAGAAGCCAGGCTGCAAAGTGCTTCCAAGTTTAGGCCGCGAGGAAGCAGAGCCACTAGCACGAACCACTTTTCAATAAGCTGGTTCTCAGAGAAAGGGTATGAGAAGGTGGTAGAGTCGGCGGTAGAGTCAAGGAAAAAATCTGCATAGAAATGATTTTTGCATTCTTACAGATTTAGTGAGAAAGATTTGGGAAAGAATGAGTGCTTGAGAACACACTAGTAGAGAAGGGAAAAGCAACGGAGCAAAGTCCCAGGGACTGACCCTGATAGCCGACCAGTAAAATCACAAGGTAAGCACAGGTTTGGCTTTTGGTGGTACTGATGAAGGACATGGTGAAAGGAAAGAAAAGGAAGCCAGGCAGCAGAGAGGATCGGAGGCCCTCCACCTCGTGCCGCCGGCCCTTACCCCTGGAGGAGAGCGAGTCCTTGAACATCTCGTAGAACTGAGTCAGGTACATCACCATGGACAGCTTGTCGGGCTCCCCCACCGAGGCCATTTCTTTGCCTGTCATGATGGGAGAAATGCCCAGTTCCTTCTCAGCAATATCAAAGGCCAGTTGGTTATTCTTCTCCACATTTTGCTCATCCAAAGAATCAAAATCTCTGAGAAACAGGATGAGGAAAACACGTCAAGATGAGTTGCTTATCCCCACACCAGAAAACACAATACCATGGAGTCGTCATCATTCTCAGTCTTTCAGCTAAAATCCAGGGTGCAGTGCCTCACCGTAATCTGAGAGCAACTCTGTTTATTTCATCTCAGTCTCCTTCCTTTTACTAAGGAAATACAAACCATCCTCAAGGAGAAGAAATGATTAAAGATACCCATAAAGGAAAAAAGAGGAGGAAAGTTGGAAAACTACCCTCATTTTTCCAAGATAAAGATAGGAACTATCTTTTTTTTTTTGAGGAAGATTAGCCCTGAGCTAACATCTGCTGCCAATCCTCCTCTTTTTTTTTTTTTTTTTTTGAGGAAGACTGGCCCTGAGCTAACATCCATGCCCATCTTCGTCTACTTGATATGTGGGATGCCTGCCACAGCATGGCTTGACAAGTGGTGCCATGTCTGCACCTGGGATTTGAACCAGCAAACCCCGGGCTGCTGAAGTGGAACATGCGCACTTAACCACTATGCCACTGGGGCAGCCCCGATAGGAACCATCTTTAACACGTATCCTCTTGCACCTTGTGTGTGACTGTACATATTAAACTAATACTCAATAATGATAAAAATCCTCCTTAGATCAGACTGCTTCTAAGTCCTGGGACTATCACACACTGTGTCCTTTGGACCTGACAAGCTGTTCATGCCCTGAGTCAGCTCTGGTAAATCTTACTCAGCCTTCTACTTGAAGGGAAATTCCAAGACTTTCCTCAAAAGATTTTTCCATTGCTAAATTTCCTGAGTTTTCCCAAATACTTAGATTAACAAACATTTCCCACTGGGTTTCCAGGTTCTTGCTATTCAATCAAGTAACAACTGATAGCATTCTTCTCTAGGTGATTTCAGGCCTTATCGTGCATTAACCTGACTCATGGCAGTTTTTCATTTTTTAAAATTGCTTTTCTCTGTAGATTAAGCCTGCTAAACCATAGAGGCCGCATCCTGAATGAAGTCATTGTAGTCTAAACAGTGCCACGTGACCTACTCACTGGTTTGTGTTCTGTCACAAGAAAATCCCCCAGACCTTCTGCAGGCGGCCTTTGGTCAGGTCTACTGGGAATGTGTCCCCTCACCCCACGCGACCCCCCGCCCCCACCTGCCTTCCCTTTGGAAGAGAACTGATTCACCTGGCCCTTCCTCTACAGCACTTCTGTGCCACTGGTCATAATCCTCCCGAAGCTGCTCCCCGATACCCCCTCTCCCGGTAGGGCGATAAGCCCTCCTTTCACCTGCCTTTTGCCAACCTCTGCAGGAGCTAAGGGACAGAAGCACCAGAGGTCAGTTATCTTTATCGAAGCGAATCAGAAATTCCCATTCCTGAACCACACTATGCAAGGGTATTTTTACTAGCTGTTGCCTCATTAATTTATAATCTAATATAAACAGGGACTAGGTCTTTGAGAATTCCTTAAGCAACCATTAAAACAAAAAACACACAAAAATTGGGCCCTTAAATGGGCCTGATGATAAAAGGACAGGCAGCCAAACTAATTCAACAAACTCTGCCTTTGTTTCTGCATCTTCCTGTTTGGTGCCCACAGGAAGGAGGCCTACGGGGGAAATCTGAGCACCCTGGCTGACACGGCCACCTGGGTCACCGAATTGTCCTAATTCTGCACGTGGGTGAGTAAAGAATGACCAGAAGACATGTTACCAATGTACATGGGTAAGGTAACCTGAGTTTTGGGGGCGCGAGAGAGTATGTTTGCAAAAAGTGCCATCCTTTACCAAAGAAAGGGGAGCCACTGGAAATTGGGGGAGGACTCACTTTTCTGTTTTGTTGGTGGTGACATATTTGCCTTTCGCCAGCCAAATGTTCCAGCCAGCTTTTCCTCATGACCATCAGCATTTGAGAGATGGCTGGCTGAAGTGAAGAGTTCAACCTGGGGCCAATCAACAGAGTTTTCCTTTGTGTAGAGTTAAGAGGCCCAGGTGGGCGCTAAAGCCAGCTTCTGACCTTCTGAGTGCAGTGATTTTAGAAACTCAGCTAGTCACTCCGGGGCTGAACTACGTAATGCTTGACATAAAGAGTTTTAAATATAACCACATCAAAATTAATGACTGTCTTCTAGAGAAAGTATCTTACTATGTATCTCATTCTAGGAAAATGTACAAAATTTGGCTACTTGAGAGCAGTGTGCCCTGAGATCCTTCAGGAATACAAAATGAAACACAGAGTCTGGTTACAACTTACATCAGATCGGGGCGGTATCTGTGGATAATCGCACACAGGGCCAGGCCACTTTTCCAAGACATGGTGAGGTCTGTCACATTCACCCCTGCGTAGCCATCGGTCTGCCTCTGGCACCAACCCAGCAGTTTGCTTGAACGAGCTACAGACTCTAAAACAAGAAAAGTATTGTTGGAAGTGTAGTCACTGAGTAGCACTGAGGATCCTCTGTAGTATACATATCCAGTTTGAAAAATTACTGAAGGTAGGGATAAAATAGTTGTCACCGGTTTTCAAAAGTAAGAAGCTATGTGACTGGTATCCTGATAGTGGAATTTTAGGTAGACAAGAAACTACAGATTTACCCAGACTCCGAGGTCACGTCTATCTCCCTAACAGATGGATAAGTCACACCAGGTTGTTTGGACCTGCTCAGGCTGAAGCCCGGTGTCCTGCGGTGCTCTGGTCACTGATTTACATGGCATAGCACCGTCTCCAGAGGCTGTCACCCCCACCTGCAGTGCTTCTATCGTTCCCCTGGAGAGTTGTGTGGCAGCTGGCAGGGGAAGCTCCCTCCCTTCGAGGTAAACTGGGAGGCTTAGGGCAGAGAAGCCTCCATTCCACCCAGCAGCACAGCAAACCAGCAGCGAACAAAGCCCTGCTTGCACCCTTGCGCAGGTGCTGAGCCACCTGCCAAGAGAAGACACTATACGATGACACTGGCCTGGCCAAGTCCCCCAGACCAGACGAACCTGGGTACTCTCGATTATAGATGATCACATCTTGAAAAACTGAATACGTAAACACATACACTTGGATGTTTTCTAGTTCATCCATATGTCTTCTATAACATGAAGAGCTTTTATGAAAATCTGTTTGTCTTACAGCATCAGAAAAGCTCTGATATGGAGCATTCAGAAGAATCTGTGAACTTGTATTTGTGACCAAGAAAGTCTGCTACCTTAGTTTAGGCAGCTGAAAATATTTAACCTTGGACTAAGTCATTTAGTAATTTGTGAACATAAGATAAAAACCGCATATCATAAAAACCCTATTTCATTTAAGTCTTTCAGTGAAAATGTATTTTGAAACTATACAGTGTCATCCTGGTGTCATCATTGTAAATCTCTTGGCTTCAGAAATTAACTCTATTCTGATGTCTCCTAAGTCTGTATATTCATCAATCCAATACATATTGGGCAACTTCAATATTCCAGGCTCTAAAATAATAGTGAACAAAGATACATTCTCTACTTTCAAGGAGAAGAGATCCTAACAGAGAAAGACAAAAATGTTTCCAACTGCCTGTTGGTCATCATATTCATCTTGATAGCCCAAGAGCATATTAAATTCAGACTGTCAAAGCAGAACTGGAACGTTTTTACTCTCCCGTTTCCTTGTTCAGACTGATGGCAGCACGATTCACAACTACCTTTTGACCCAAAGCACAACCAAGCTGCCAATGCCTTTTGATTCTGGGTCCTTAATATTCTCTCTCTCACATAATTAATACCGGCATTGACAAAATGGCTGCCGTTTTTGACCACTCACTATATGCCAGGCATTGCAGTACAGAATGCTTATAATGTGAGGTGGATATTTGTTACCCCTGTTTCATAGACAAGGAAACCGAAGTTCAGAGATGCTACATAACCTGTTCAAGCCCACGCGATTCACAAATGGCAGAGCTTGGACTGGGACCCAGGTGCACCTGGCCCCAAAGTCACAGTTCTTCTTGCTCCACTGCCTTTTCCCTTCTCCATCCTCAGCGTCAACACCAGATTGAGGCTCCACCACTTTCAGCTTGACTATTGCAACGTACTTCCAACTAGGCCCCTGCCTTTGGCATTTTCCTTCTCCATCCTATCTTACAGGTAGCTGATCAGGTATACTCATGTCACGCTCCTTTTAAAAAAATCTTCAGGGGCCCTTCAATGAACACAAAATATGGAATGGCCTTTATTTCCATCACTGTATCATAACAATGTTGTAGTACTTAGCTAAAATGCTACGGCTTCTTCCATAAAAACCTTAGTTGGCATGTGTGTGCTCATTCTCCCTGTCTCTCTCAACAGCATCGGTATCTGATTTCTCTACACTCTCATAACACCTTAGACCGAGGTTTCTCAACCTCCATGTTACTGCTATTTTTGGCTGGGTAATTTTTTATTGTGGGAGCTGACTTGTGCACATGGGAGGTTTGGCAGCATCCCTGGATGCCAGCAGCCACCCCCATCATGACAAACAAAAATGTCTCCAGACACCACCAAATATCCTCTGGGGGCAAAATGACCTCTGGTTGAGAACAACTGCCTTACGCAGTACTGTGCACACTGACAGCTCAACAAATAAGTACAGACTTCTCTGTACAGGTTACCTGGATTTCAAAAGGCCATTACCAGAACTCACCATTGCGTATCAACTTTGGGGTAGTTCGGGAATTCACCAGGTTCTCCATTTCCAGATGAATATCTTTTGTTTCTCCAGTATCATATAAATGGCGCACCTGGAAGAAAGATAAAAAGTCATAAAGAGGGAAAATCAAATACCAAGTAACAAATTCCCACCTGAGAGCAGAATGACTGAGAGGAAAGACTGGGACAGCAGGTCGGGCAGTTCAGACAGAGTTACGATGATGACCTTTAAATCCTTTCTGGAATGCAGAGGGGCTACATATAAGCAAATACATAGTAACTGTAATAAGTTGTGCTAAAAACTAGCTACTCAGCCAGGAAGTCCCTTTGATAGTCTCTGTTGGATCATCAATGCTGCCCATCGGCAGCAGGCTTCATGGACGCCTTAGGGACCACACACAAATACAGAGGCGTAAAGGTGTAAACTTCAGGTAGAAAGTGAGTAACAAATTACACTAGAACATAGGCCAATAAATTGAGTGGGCTGCTTTCTGAAAACTGCTGAGCTCTTTGGGATCATTATGCTTTATGAAATGTCACTCTAGTGTACTAATAAGGCTTTAGATATTCTGAGAAATAGCACAGAAGTACAAAAAACAGACCAGTGATGTCTTCTACTTGTAGAGAGTGTCTGACCTTTCAAAGTTCTTTCAAGTGAACAGTCTCACTTGCCCCATGGCGACCCCAAGAGCAGCAGGCATTATCGCCTCCCTTTACAGGTGAAGTGAAACGACCAGTCCAAGTCACAAGTGAGTGGTGGGTGATGGCAGCGCAAGTCACAGCTCCTGACTAGTGAACAAGTGCTGCTTCCCTCACAACCTGCAATCTGAATTAGGAGGCCTGCGATAAAGTCCGGAATCCATCATTTCTGTCACATTTGGTCTTCAACAACTGTCTGCCTCAGCAGCTGGCTCTTCTGCTGATGGGAAATAACACCTATTTTCGCCAATTCAGAGAGCATCTATTTGGATTATGAAAGAAGTGTTGCGTATATGTTTCATATTAATAGATACATTTCAATACTTCAGAGGTCTGATCGGCCCTGAAAATGGGCCCAGACATAGATGACCGACTGGAAGGCTCTTACCTGGCTTGGCCGGAGGAAGTTGACGTTAATATTGGGATATCTGGTGACAGGGTCTATGCTGTATTGGCTGAAGTTTTTACTCACATTCTCAGGGGTGGTCTGGGGCAGCAACCTATAAATACTCTCCCTGCAATAACACACAACAATATAAACAGGCATCACAAACATCTCCCCTCCCTTGACAATATTTCCATTTTATCTGAAGGATACGACAAATCCTCATCCTTGACCAGTTTCCTCCAATCCTACAACAGCCCTTGATTCCATAGGCACTGGACTGGCTAAGGGCTAGAAGAGCAAATACACTGCTGGGGGCAGGGATAAAAAGCCGGATTCTAATTTAAAAAGCAACAAATTTCTGTTTTGTTTCTCAAGTATGCCAATATTTAATTTTTAAGAAAATCACAGATGAAAAAAGAACTTCCCACCAAATTTACCCAGAGCACCTTAAGTAACAGACTTAAAATGACACCAACCACCAATTTCACCCAGGAAATCTTACTTCTCTAGTTTTTCTGGTCACGGCATTTGTTCCTCATCAGCAAGCAAATCCTAGGAGTCTTACCTCATTTGCAATAATCAGCTTCAAAATATCTGACATTTGGGAGTCTGAGAAACGTGACGAGCAGTTCAGTGTTTTCCTTTGAATTCAGTCCCATTTAACTTCCTCTCTGATGTCAGTCAGCCCCCGCCCACCATGCTGACTCCATCCCTGCATGTGTTTCTAGTTGACAGAGCACGTAAGGTACTACTGTTTGTATCTGGTTGTGCAGCTGTCTTAGAGGAATCAGACGCCATCCCTCAGTGGTACAAAGATCCAGGTACCATTTGTCAGTAACAACTTTAACTTGGAAAGGGATAAGAGAAGAGCACTTACATTAGATGATCTTTAAATTTCTATGATTTTATGAATAATATCTTGCCTTTCCTCTCTTAAATATGAAAACATCTTTAATTAAGAAAGGGAAAGAGAGAAGGGAGAAAGAGCCTGGATTCTGCCTGAAGACCCAACCACCTGTCACTCCTAGTTTTCTCACAGAAGGACCCCTGCTACTTTCCATTACCTCTCTGCTAGGACTTCCAGGGGGCTTGTTCCTAGAGACCAACTTCGTACCATCCAGGCAGAGTCCATAGCAGCTAAAAAGCCCCGGGCTATTCCTGTTCCCATTGGCCAAAAAGGCTATAAAGGAGAGAGAAAACAAAGAATTAAAATAAATTACCTTCGAGAGTAGTTTTTGGCAACTGTTCAGATACTGGACTTCTATACTTCACAAACTGGGAGAAGGGCAAGTCACAAAAGTTGCTGAATTCCCATGAACACAGGGCTCCCCGCGGCCTGCAGTCCTCGCCCACTTCCTGCTGTGACTCCTGCTTACCTAAGCCACACAACGCTGCAGACACTCGTTTCACAGCCCGGGATACCCAGATTTGTTCCTAATTATTATTGCCTCTACTCTAAGGTGCTGACATCCTTAACACTCACCTCCAGGAGGCTGTCCCCAACCAGAGCCACTAATAATTGGTGTCCATTCTGCTCACGCACCAAGGCGGCGTTCTCGGAGGCATACATACAAGTGAAGTCAAACATGGCCACGTCGGGCTGCCCATAGTGATTGATGGCAAAATCCAGAGATGGCAGCTGCTGCTGGGTGGAAAAGTCTGCTGCCTCCCTGGCATAGCTCAGCAGAGCCTCTTGGTCCACATTTTCCCGGGAAAGCAAGAGCTCTGTGTCGGCGTAGTCCTGTTTCCAGAGAGAGAAGAGACTCGATGGCACAGCCCAGATAAGGATGTCCAGCCTAGCCACCCAGAGCTGTACTACCTGTGTTAGAGAGAACCTGGTTTCACAGCCTTTCCATTCTCCCTGAAGTGATTTCATATCCCAAAGTAAGTCTTTTACACAAATTAAAAAGATAGGGGCCGGCCCCGTGGCTGAGTGGTTGAGTTCGTGCCCTCCGCTTTGGCGGCCCAGGGTTTCACTGGTTTGGATCCTGGGCATGGACATGGCACCGCTCATCAGGCCATGCTGAGGCATCGTCCCACATGCCCCAACTACAAAATACACAACTATGTACCTGGGTGCTTTGGGGAGAAAAAGGAAAAATAAAATCTTAAAAAAATAAAAAGAAAAGGAGCAAAGCTGTTTCTAAAGCACAGGCTTTGCTGCCTAAAAACACAGTCCCAGCCTTCCAGTTACTTGGAGCAAGTCACTACTTTGACCCTGTCCATCCACCTCGTGGGGTTGTTTTCAATACCAAATAAAACAATTTATGTGATGGTACTTTGTAAACTGAAGAAGCATTTTGCCGTTTATATTGTTATCAGCAATCATTATCTTCCAGGTAGCAAATAGCTTTTGGCAACTGGGACCACATGAAGGACTAAGGAAGAACCCGAAAGCTTTAGGTGCCAAAAAGACGTGGAGGGAGGAGCAATAGCAGTCCAGGGGCTGGGAAGAAATACACTGAAGATGGAAGAGAGGTTTTCAGAATAACACATAAGATTCTGAAAGGCTCCAGAGAAACCCACCAAGAAAGAATAGCTCATGAGAGAAAAAAGCTTTCCACCTAAAGGACTGGACAACTCCTTTTCTGTTTGGAGGTTCCTGGCTACTGAGCCAAGTCTACTCTCCTAAAGTGGAGCCTCAGGTTTCCAAGTGCCCCGATGGCACTTTCAGCCACCACTACAAGATGTTAAAAGCCAAAACACAAACACTTGAGTTGGTCCTGGAAACAGCGTTTGTTCAACGTTGAGTAAGTGGCCACAATAGGTTTAATATTTAGCAGCACACACAGAAGGCATGGCCCTTGCCCTCTAAAAAAATGAATAAAAAGGAAAAGTAAATCAGGTCTTGGCATTCTAGATTATTCCTAAATAATTTCAACTGATAACTATAATTTTGCCTAAGATGATAGATTTAAGTCTTAACTTAGTCCCAAGGCACACCACTGGGCTCAGCGGCCATTCCTTATTGATAAAGCATCCAACCATATACATCTTGCTTGGCTTTTGGTAGAATGGGCTGTACAGACTGCTTTGTCTTGTTTCCCCTGATACATAAAGGACCACGAAGCTGAGAAACAGATACAGGGTTCACGGGTGGGAAGGAGACTGTGCTGCAGGCACGTGCTCATCAGCTCACCCCTACACTGCTCTCAGATAACACAGTTGTGTAATTCAGACTGAAGTGACTTGATTCATCACCACCCTGACCCAGCTGTGAGTCTGTGGTAAGAACTGTACAGGCTTGAATCAGCACATATGGTGCCTCTTCTAGCCATCTCATCGCACAGGGACAGCAGTGCTCACATTCAGACCAAGGAGACCAAAGAAGACTTAAAGAAACTCTCCCTAAGGAACCATCCACCCTGTGGTTCTCTGACTTCATATTCAGATCATCATCTCAGGAAACATCATACAATGAGTCACCTGGTAAGAAGCTGAGCTGCACCTGACTCAGGATGGACAATAAGCCCTTATTGTTAGGTCATAAAGAGGTCTAAATACGCCCTGTCCAGTCAGTGTTGCCTGGACCTCTGACAGCCATGTCTGCAGTAAAACCACAATCATTCTCAGGCTCCCATCAACACCAGTTATTGCTTCTGGGTAAAACTCCCTTCCCTCTATCACCTCCTCCCAAAAGACAACCTACCAAATACCAACCAATAACCAGTCATAGATAGAATTCACTACAATCACAAACAAAATGACCTAAAATTAAATCAAATATTTAACACAAAATGATATCTGAGATTTGCTCTGAAAGAATCCAGGGGCGGGAATGGGGAGTGGGTTGGGGCACTACTGAAACAATACTGGCCAAGTTAGATAATGGGCACATAGGGTTCATTATACAATTCTCTCTACTTTTGTTTACACTTGAAAATTTCCATAATAAAAGATTTTTTAAAGTTACATTAAAAAACATTAGAGGAGTACATGTTCCCAGGAGATGAGTTTAGGTGGTCATTTTCATTCCCTCGCAGGAAAACTCATCAGACAAGAAAATTCTTTCTCTTGGTGACCACATTAACCAGTACAATATAAAATGTGGTTTGAAAGAAAGCCATCACTCACATGCAGTATCACCCCTTTGTCCAGTAAACTCTGCTTTTTGGCTGTCATAACGAAATAGTGCGTGTCATCTTTATAGTAGACGATGTTCTCCAAGTCGATACCTGTAACCAGAAAACAAACGCGTGCATACAGGGGTTTGCTGAAATGAAGGGACATTAGGGCAGAAGAAAGACTGTCCATGGGTCCACCAAGACCAGGGCTATAAAACTCCAGGGAGGAAAAGAGAAAATTAAAAAAAGACACTTGAGCCGAGGCTCTAGCACATTCAATTCATGACAAGAGGGGAGCTGTCTGCCCTGACACTGCTCTCTAACTCACTGGACACACCAAGTTACCCTAAAGACAATGATCAAGACAAGCAGAAAGATAAAGATGGGAAGAAAAAGAAAGGTTAACCTCTAGTAAGAGGGTTTGGGTTAGCTCTCAGGTTAAACCTCTTTGATAGTCATCAAGGCAATTGAGGGAAATGTCCTAGACTCTTAAGGACAGGACAGACAACTAAATATCGGGAAACAGAGAGTGAACTATCGACTTTTTAATTCAATTAATCTAAAAAATAGATGCAATGGACAGAAATCATGTTCTAGAAAACAGAGAATTGGAATTTGCTGCACATTTTTGTTGCAGCAAAATATCTAAGTTAATCTATTCAAAAGCTGTCACACGACAATCTCACTCCTATCTAGCATGTGGTTTGCTTCAAGACCAAACTGGAACTCAGGAGGAAGACTACATACTCAATGCCTGAAGTCAGGTTCTCAATAAACCAGAGAACTCCCAACCAACAGCTTACGTCACCAAGCACCATCACTGAGAGCGATGGCACAGAGGAAGGGGCTGGAGAAGAGTTGGTAGAAGGCAAAACAAACACTTAAAACAAACAGATAAGTAAAAACCAAAACCAGAGCAGCCCAGCCCAGCCACTGTGATGAGGATGAAGAATCCTGGAGTAGGAGACAAGCGATGTGGAAGGCATTACACTAGGAACAAAGTATGGGAGTGAAGAATGAGCAGAGTGCAAACAGCACAACAATAACCCCAATGACCACCCACCCCTCAAACTCTCCAGAGAAAAATCACAAGTGGTTATTTAAACTTCTATCCTTATTGCTTTGGAGGCATCTACACCAACCTGTGGCTTCCCTCAGTTGCTGGAAAAATTTTTGGTTGAAAATAAAAGCCACACCACTGATCTCTTCCACTTTGGCTTCTGCTGTTGTATTTCTGTTAATAAAATTTGCTGTAATGGCAATGGCCAGTTTGCCACGAAATTCTTTGCGACGAAATCCTGGAAGGAAAGAAATTTTTAGAGGTAGCAATAGCTGGCTAGAGAAGAAGGAAGATCACTTCAAACAGGAGGAGTGTTGATGAAGGCATTGGGAACGTGGGGAGTGGGGATCAATGGGAAAATCTGGGGGCAGCTCTTCTCTATCCGAAAATAAAGTATTTACCTTCCAAAGAACATAACAATTCAGGAAAGAAGTCAACGTCTCCCACACACTAATAAACAATTTGAAATCTGAGTGGCCAGAATATTACTCAGTACTAGGGATTCCATGAAAAAAAAAGGGAAGCCACCTGCTCATTCAACTTAGATTTAATCCTGCAGTGCCAACTGCTCAAAGTTTAGCTTGTCTCCTAGCACCCCAACAAGAGTGCCCTATAAGAAGTAACCCAAGAACCAGTTGGCTAAGGGAAGGCTGGGGCCTGTTATTCAATTAGAATAGGTAGCACACATATGCAGACTCTTAGGAGTGTGGACTCTGATGATACAAACTCACACACCAGGGTTGGAAGAGGGTCACCCTTCACTCTGCTATGAACCACGTAAAGCAGCATTGACCAATACCTTCCAAGGTGTTCCTCCGGCCATCCCCTCCGATGATCACTTCAAATTCGTACTCCGATACAGGATGAGTTTTGGGGTGCACTAGTGCCCGCCAACCTATCCCTGTAGACCAAAGTCAAAATGAAGGTCACTACCCACACCTTATTCATATATCTAAGATATCTCTAGATATTCTGGTAGGCAGACTGCACAACATCCCAAGCCAAAAACACTAGGTGTAAAAACATGGGATACAAACCCACAGAAACAAGAAAGCCTTGAAGAAGGCTCACAAAGGAAGGGTCCCCATCATACGATTTTCTACAATGAATACTGCAATTGTTGCAGTGCTGCAATGTTTAATACTATGCCAAAGGCCTTCTCATTCAGTAAAAAGTTCCTCAAAAGACACAGGCCACACAAATGGAAAAGCCCCTTGAACTAGTTCTGAAAACAACCTGCAGATTCCTACAGTTTTCTCCCGCATTCACTGCCCTTTAATCCCTCCCTTATTTGTCCAATCCAACTCACGTTCATTTTCTTGGTCCTCAGGAGGCTGTACAAGTCCTTGGAATTCCACATTGACATGGATTTCAATGCCTAGGATCAAGGCTACTTTCAAAAGTATTAGTTGAAGCTGACGGATACCTGGGTAAACAAAGAGATTACACAAGTAGGGGCACACTGAAAAGAGAGTACTTGTCAGTGGTCACTGCTCACGTTCCCACCTGCCCACCTATGCAGAGTTTATTCAGATTCTCAAAGCCTCCTGTAGCAGGAGACATTTTTGAAGTCATGTTCCATAGCTTCCTTCTTTTCTAAGGGCAAATATAATTCAGTGCAAGAGATGTTCTGGAGAGACACACAAGGCCATGCCCGCCTCTTGGGTTAGTGTTCAAAACCACCAAAAGATCTGAGACAACATGAGATGGTGGCCAATAGGAGACTCTCCTTTCCATCTCCCCCTGATTCAGTCAGAGCCACAATTCAGCAGAATCTACACTCCTGACAGGACACTGTACTTACCACAGAAGGCAGAAGATGTGCGCTCACAGGTGTGCTTTCCAGTCTGACACAAAGGGGCTGCTGTACTGCTCCCCAGGATTCCCACAGCATCTCTTTCATCCTACTACCTCACTGACTTTCACACATCCTTACAGGGTGAGAAGGGGACGCCTCAATCCAACCTTAGTCTCTTGTCATTGCCCCTCCCACCACTGGTCTACAGTTGCAGAAACCAAGGCTCAAAATGATTGAAAATCTTGCTCATTATCATAGTGAGATTTATTTATTTGTTCCATGTCCAGTGAGTATCTACCAAGTGCCAGACATGGCAGCAGCCCCAGGTATACTCAGATAAAAATCTAGCCCTTGATGTAGGACCATCTCAGCTCCAGGATAAATCCTGCCACACAGAAGGCAGACAAATCCACTGAATTAAAGACCCTTGGTCCCCTCCTAAGACCAATCCTACCTGCAGTCTGTGAGTAATCTGCTCACAGGACATGCAAATCCTCCTCTAAGTCATCTTGGTCATCTTTCCCAGGTTACCACAACCACCACCCTTCTGAGTCACACTCCCAAAGACTCATTAATCCCATGCTAGAACACACTTTCTATTTGCAGACAACTGGGTTCCAAGATGCTTTACACATTAAAGCCTGATGGATGGGCAGAGTGCTTCCTCTGCCAGTGGAATGGGGCAGCTTTTGGCCACTGTTTGATAAACTGGCACAACCGCTTCAAACAGCAAAAGGTTCAGTTGTTGAATATATCTACAAGACACATCTGAAGGAGCTCAGAACAAAAGTTCCTTGACAAGCTTCTCTGGAATCATTAATGATGATCAATAAACAAGACTTCGACTTCATAATGTAGATACTGTCTGTTCTGAATTGCTTTTCAGATAGGCCACTCAACAGTCATGAAAACGAAATCACTGGCTCCATTAACCTGTATTTACTCTATGGGATCTCAGAGATGCATAGGTCCAAGCAGAGCATGGCGATGACAAGAGCGTAGCAAGAGCTATCCAGGCTGTAGACCCTCATGAGAATCACCTAATCAAAGGAATCCCATTATTGACTTGCCATTCATGACCAAACTAGGAGTCTGCTTCTTCTACAACTGTGGTTTCCCCAGGACTGTGTCTCCACAGCATTTGTTCTTACATTAGTAGAGCATTTATCTTATCACATGACAGAGACCCATATGCCTTGTACTTCTTCCACTGGACTAAGAACCACCAAAGGGTCGAGGCCCAAACCGGTCCTCTGTTTCCTAGCCTGGCCCCAACGCCTGCCCCACCCACTGCAAGTGCTCAGTAATAATTCAAGACTTAACTAAGAAATCATTAAGCTAAAGTCACTTCATAGGAGATACCCTGGTAGCTAAGAGTCCTAAGTTACAGAACAAACACATGGCAGCTATTTTGACTCTGAGCAGAGTACGTTTTCTATACAATAGATACTAATGATATCAGAACAAACTGGGCTGTTGTGTATGAATTGCTCAGATAATCTGCCTGTCTCTTTCTACTGAACAAGTGGGTAGGGGGCAGGGGTGGGATCTTACAGAACTGGTTTTACTTACTGATATGGTCAATGGCTCCAGCACAGAACTTGCCATAGAACTTCTTGGCACCCAGACCTCGCAGATCATGTATGGTGAATGGCCAGAGATGCAAGACATTGTTGCGGGAGAAGGCATCTCGTTTCTCAATAACGACCACCTTAGCTCCCAATAAGGATAAGTCAATAGCTGTGCGGAGACCACAGGGGCCAGCTCCAATGATGAGACACTGAAAAACACAGCTGCTTTCAGGGCATAGGCAGCACCTCTTGAGAAAGCGCACATTTCTATAAAAGTTCCATGATCTCATAACCTTCATTCCCTAAAGTCCCCAAATAGGGCTATTCTCCCCACTACCATGAAACCTTCAAACCCATCTGGGTCATAGCAGTGCATCTGCAATGCTCGAGAGAAAAGCTGATGATTGCTATGGACAGATCAGACTCTTCATCATCAGTGCTGGATGTAAGGCCAGCACACGTTTGCCTTGTAGGCCTGCACCATATTTCAACAAACGATTTGAAAATCACATCCCATCTTTCATCAATAGCAGGAGACAATTTGGAAGGTCTGTAAGTCAAGGGGATTGCTGTCCAAGGAGAGACATACATTATTAAATACATAGTTCAGGCAATCAGAGTCCTGGAATGGGTCTACCACTCAATGATTCTCAGGAGTCAATTTTCAAGAGCCAAAGTTCCATGTGCTGAAAAGAGTTCTAAAATTACCATCTTTAGACTGAAAGTCCAGGGAAATGGTCTTGAAGGTCCATATTCTAGAGAAGTAGGTGACACTGGACACTTACCTTAACTAACTGGCATTGCATGTGCAGAACAAAAGAAAGATGCAATGCTTTTGGCTTTGAATTCTCTTTCGTCTTAATAAAACTCCAGAACTCACAAAAATCAGGCCTTTGAATTTCTCGAATTTTGCTGATGAATATTTACCCAAATGCAAATCTACCAGGGATGGGTGTCTAGGTATCCACACAGGGCAAATTAAAGCTCATGAAAGGACGTTAATGACATAGTCATGAAGCCATTTACAACTTCATTTCCCTGCTAGCTTTTTTCCAAACTTCTCACAGAAGGTGTTCTTATATAAAGAGGAAAGCAGGAAAGGTACTGTTCCTTCTCTACTTCCTCACACCCACCCCTGCACAGGTGACTGAATATCTCAGGTCTTTGCCCAGGCCTACCTGTTTCATGGAAACTATTTCTCTAGATTGTGAAGAAAGCAAAAGAAACATTTTGGTTCACAAGGCCCTTGGTTATCAAAACAGACCTTTGGAGTATGGATGAAAAGAGGTCTGAAGCCTGCCAATCCTCAGTTGGCAAATACAATCTATACCTTACTAGTTACTGAGTATGGAATGATGGCTTTGTAAAGATGACATGGCAAGCACCACAAAGCCATGTTCAGATAAGATGCTAACAGGGCTTGGGTAGTCCTTTGGCTAAGTGACCTGCATCCTCCTAGCAGCATGAGATTCAAAACAGAGCCTCACAAAATAAGAAATTCCTACCCTACTTGACTTTAGGGTTGTTCTGAGATAGCTGAAACTTGAATGTTCAATATGTGAACACAGGGAATAAGAATAGGGTCTGGCACACAGAACAGTCAAATGAACACAGGCAATGGATCCACAAAATTTCAACAAGGTATAAGCTTGACTTGCTATACAAGGTGGTGGCTAGACTCTGCCTAGTTCTCACCCAGTCTACCTCTACTCAATCCTTTTCTTTGGCCCACCTCTACTCAAACTCTTTTCTTTTCTGGTTAAATCTTAGGTCAGTGATCCCAGGCCTGAGGGCAGCCAAACCCTCACCTTGGTGTTGGCGCATGCTTTCCCCTTTTTGTAGTCCTTGTGGCTGCCCCGTTTGTCCAGCTTTGCCCAGAGGGCTTTGGCTTTCCAGTAGTTAAGCTTGGACTTGAGTTTGTGATAAAAGGAGCGGTAGTCCTTCGGCTTCAGCTCCAGGTGGTCACAGAGCTCTTGGAAGGCCTTGAGGGTCCCCTTGCAGGTGGTGGCCTGCACAAACCGGTCAAAGAGGAGGTGAGCTCGATTCACCATCTCCTTCTTGCTCTCCTCCATGCCTCCCTACTCTCAGCACCCTCTGACAAAGGGAGCAGTGGGATGGCTGCTGATCCAGCTGACACAGTCACGTTAATCTAACAAAAAGAAAGAAAAAGCAACAGTTAGCAAATCCAAATTTGTATCTATAAACATTTTCTAGGAGACATAACTCTTTCGAAGTGGAGTTCCTCAGTGTCATAGTCATTCACTCAGCAAACACACACCACACACCTTCTACACTCCAGCAGTCTCTGGGACACTGGGGATGGAAAGTGAGTAAGACGGTGTTTGCTTTCAAGGACCTTACAGCTTAGTGGGTGAGACAAACTCACGAACAGAATGTTAAATGTAGCAGGCTAAGTGTCATTAGAGAGAGAGGCACAGGGACTTGGGAACATAGAAGAGCATCTAAATCATAGGGAGGGGTCCTTGTTGAAAATGAACCTCTGAGAAGCGACAGCTGAGTCTCTCAGAATAAATAAGTGCTAGCCAGGCAGGGCAGAAACGCAGGACATGGGAAAGAAAGTAAAATAGGAAGGCTTGTGAGTGAATCTTACACTTGAAAGAGTCAAGACTGATCCCCAGGTTGCCAGCTTAGGCCACTGAGTAAATGGTGACACTAGGCCAACGGATTAAAGACAGCACTCATTTGTGAGGGTCGGGTGGCGAGTTCCGTTTTGGACCTGTTACATTTGAGCTGCCTTAGTGGAGGCGCTCTCTGGGCTGTCTGGTATGAATGTGAAGCTCAGTGGAGTAGCTGGAGCCCCAGCCCCAGATTTGGGAGTCAGTAGCATCCAGGTGAGAATTGAACCTACGAAAGCCGGTAAAATCACACAAGGAGAATCCATGGGAAGAGAAGAGCCTGGGGCTCTGGATGAGAGCTGGGACTCATCCACCTGTAAGGGGCTGGTAGAACGAGATGAGCTCTCTAAAAAGATGACGAGGCACAGTGGAGAGCAGCCTGAAGAGAACAAGGGCAGTGTCACAGAGTCTAGGCAGCACAAAGTCAGCAGGGATTTAAAGGACTGAAAACTCCTGCCACTGCATGTGGCCCATGGCAGGGTGGGAAGGTTTTACAGCCACTCCACTTTGCCCACAAACTTATTTAACAATAATGGTGATGATGTCTATTCCTTCCACTTATCAAAAACATCCACACACCTACCATCCTACGTTTGCTGGATAGAAGCTTTAAGATGGGAAATGGCACCTTACATGCTCTTTTATCCACCCACTCCTTTGGGTCTGTCTCAACATTTTTCTACCATGTTTTATTTATCATTACCACTTAGAACTATTTTTGGGAGGGAGGAGGTAAAGGGCCAAAGACCAAAACTAAGCCTTAGCAAGTAATGAGACAAGCACTAACATGGCTCTGAGCCCACACCTGTCAGATACTGGTTGCATGAGCCTGAATAACCAGTATAAGACACTTGGCCTCACTAGGCCTCAATTTTCCCTTGTGTAAGACTAGGAGGTTAGACTGAACCATCTCTAAAACTCTCTTCCAATTCTGAAGTTCTCTGAGTTCAGTGCTGAGAAAATCTTCTCGGTCACAGTACTCATTTCTAGTGCTCTAGTCAGAATGGTTCATCACAGGTGCATCATCAACTTACCATGAAGGTGACAGACAGGACTGCACTGGAAATTTAGTTTAAAGAGGATTTACTCTTGGAGATGGGCAAAGGCGGAGGAAGGAGCTGTTCATCCACTGTGTTCAGGAGGGGCACAGAAGCAAGGAGTGAACCAACCTGAGGGTAGTGGGAGCCCCCAAACTGTATGTGCTGATGAAATAAATTCTCCGAAGACAGACACAGAAGAGACCCATGCTCTGTCCTGAAGCTCTGACACTGAGTCAGCCACTGAGCAACAAAATCCCCCTTCGTGAAGGAGAAATAAAATTCTGCTTCTTCCTACACCTCACCATGATATTATAAGGTTAAACCAAATCAACTGGAGATGTGTCAAGTTTCACGAGAGAAAGCAATAACTAAATACAAGGAACTGCCATTTTCCCCTTTTCTACGTCAACAGGCACAACACTCTCTGTGTTCCATGGAGGCCAAGTTGAAGACAGTAATTCTTTATCTGAAAGACACTGACTTACCTTCTCATCTCAAATATGTCACTTACTCCACAACCCCTCCTGGCTCTGGATATGAAAACTACACTGCTAAAAACACAGCTTGTCCCAACATCCACACGGCCAGGAGGCCAGCAAGGAATGCAATTAACTGGAACTAACCTTCAGTTTTCCTTAAATAAAAGTTTATTCTAGGTAGCAGTAAAAAGCAAGAGAAATATTTTAAAGTTCCTAAAAAGAGCCCATTCTTTATCATATAAACCAACTCTTATCTTAGACATGGTAGGTAGTTAAAAGATGGCTTGTAGGGGCAGAAAAAGCCAGATGTGTTTATCCAAAGGCAGAAGAAAGGGTGAGATGTGACAACCAGTGACTAGAAACAAAGGTACCAGAGTGATCGCTCCATCAGGGGCCCTCTTTGCCACTTGCCTTCTTTGTGGGGATTTCTGTAGCTTTATTTGTTTTTTTGGCAAGCCTACAGCATTTTGCAATCCTGACCTTGCATACTCTACCTGTGTTTATAGTCAGCTTTAACTCCACCAGAGACACAATGTTTGCAAAGCTTTGAATACACCTGGTCTGATCTCTCTGCCTCCTGTCAAGGGAGAAAATGATTTTCTTTGTTCCTAAACAGCAGTCCCACCTTCCATTCCTTGACAGGATTTGGTGCACTCAGTGCCTGATGTTCTTGCTGAAACCAACACATTAAAGCTCCTGCAACATGTACTTCTAAAATGCTTTCCCCATAACGCCTGCCATAATGCCTGTCCTATGCTCATACCTCCCTCAGAGTCTTAGGCATTTATTTTCAAAGAAGAACGTGTAGGCTGTAGCCCACTCTGTTTGAAACAAATATTCACTTCCAAAGAGCTGGTAACTACCACAGATAATTTCCAAATCAGACCCCACCACAGATGAATACCTTCATTAATAACTGGCCCCCAGTCCTTCTGTTGATATAAAATACTTTGAAATTAACAGGGATCAGCCACAGCTCCCAAACAGCTGCAGTGCGCCTGCTTCTGAGCAGCAGGCAAGTATTAAGATTCAAGCCTAAGGGATTTCAACCTGCAGGTCACTAATGACAACAGATAAATAGAGGTAAGTTGGTCCCTGGAACAATGCGGCAGGCACCCAAGGTAAGACTACACAATATTAATTCCCTTGGGCTGCCTCGCTTTTCCTACTCTGCAAAGCAAATGACCCCAGCAGGAAGACATTCGAGAGTGCTACCTCATTATTCTGTCACTCTGTGGACCGGCACTGCCTCATCTCGTAAGGGAACTTATCCAGCATTCTGATCCACACTGAGAGCAGCTGGGGAGAACTACAGGAGAGGGGCCACTTTTATTATTGCCCTCATTTCCCTCATTCCTAAAGGTCAAACCCAGGTCCCGCTCCTCCTGGTCTCTCTCAGACCACCCCTGTGTACCATACATCCCAATATCCTGGGAAAATCAACATTCATAATCACAGGAACCTAGAGACCAGGAAACCTGGCCAGAAGGTGCCAGAAATCCTGGGGACTGAAAAGCCAAGGTGTGGAAGGAAGGGCTACAGGGAGCGAGGAGCCTGAGGAGGGAACAGGAAGAGGAGAGGATGCCAGGTTTCCAAGGCATCGATGCAATTTCTGCCAGTTGACAATATCCTGCGTGTTTTGTCCCGTGGCAGCTGACTGCTGACTCAGAAGCCTTGCACATTCCTTGGCTGTGGAGGAAAGTGCTGGAGAGACAGCCTATGAAGTACACACAGGAACAGAGTTTATGTTTCTATTTACAACAGGAGTAAAAGGTTGTCTGACTCATGGCTGGTTATGAGAACACTCAATCTCTGGCTCTTAGAATAGGTGAGTGGTTATTTGAGGGGTAGAGGGAGAATTATCTTTAAAAATAGAAAAAGGATGGGGCTGGCCCAGTGGTGCAGCAGTTAAGTTCACATGTTCCATTTCGGGGGCCTGGAGCTCGCCGGTTCAGATCCCAGGGGTGTGGACCTATGCACCACTTGTTAAGCCACGCTGTGGCAGGCGTCCCACATATAAAGTAGAGGAAGATGGGCACTGCTGTTAGCTCAGGGCCAGTCTTCCTCAGCGAAAAAAAAAAGAAAGAAAGAAAGAAAAAGAAAAAATAGAAAAAGGAAACAAAACAACAAATAAGAATTAAACTTCCAGAGTACGAAACTAGAGCCAAATTTAATTTTCTCTCTAGCCACTGCACCATTAATACACCAGATGTGCCAATCTGTCTCATACAGGAATCTATGAAATGTTCCTTTCCCAGCCTAGTCAGTCAGAGGTGTGACTTGTCTAAATAGATGTTAGAAGCAGGTATACAAAATGTCATTAGGAGGAAACTTAGATGAAAAATGTGCTTCAGATTATAGACATTCCTTCGTGTCTTGCCTCAGAAACAAGGACCAAGGTCGCCAAATGCCTTGGGTTCTTGACCAGTCTTTCTGCAACAAGGGCGGCTCAGGTCACTATCATCTGTGGATGGGGACACTGAGGCCCTCGCCTGGGTTGGGGGTCAATGAGCTGACAATCAGACCATCCGGGAATGAGCCTCCTTGTCACCTCTAACGCTTCCCAGTTCCTGTACCAAGCGCTTCTCATCTCTCAGAGCCCTCTGATAAGGTTTCTAGATAAGGGAACAAGCTCAAAAATACAAAAGGAAAGCAGTCTTTCTCATGTATTCTTGTTCCTGTGTGTACTCCATCCTCAGCTCTTTTCTGACTTTCCATCATCTTTAGCATCAAACTGCCACTTAACAGGATGTTGAAGAAACAGGAAACTAGCCCCCACCCCTACCTCCATGTCCCTCCCCACTCCATGCACCTGCTCTGTAGTCACAAGGTACGACTCCTCATCTGCACCAACCATTCCACAAGGACACTGTTTCCACGGCTGTCTCCTCCACGACTGAGAGCTTGCTTAGGGCAGGGGCCAGCTCTTTGTACTGTAGCCTGACCTATTGTGGAAACGTACTACATTGCTGTGGAGTTGATGAGGGGATTCCG